AAGAGAACTGGAAGAAAATGCTTATGTATTTTTGTTTGTGGTTGTTCAGAACTGTAGCTTTGTTTCTATTTTAATGTGGTTTTGTTTAACATGAATTTGTAATGTCAGTGTACACAATATGTTGCAGTCTTTGAGAAGTTCTCACTTTGTGCCCTTACAGGCAATACATTATAGATGTCAAATCATTCCACCCAAACTTTGCTCAATTAGAGAAAGCAGTTCTAGGGCCAGGGGTGCTCTCCTGAAGCATTTCTTCATCTGCAGCCAGTACCCAGATTCCTTTTGAATTTTGGCCTCAGATCTTTGATAAAATCTCCTTTAGGTGCGCTGAAGGAAGTTTTAGACTGCTTTTTAAGTAGGATGTTGGTCATAAGTTACCACATTGTTTGTGCATATATCCCCAATGATTTTGGCAGATGCTGATTTCTATTTGCATATGAAATAGAATGAGTAAACAATAACTGTAGAACAGTAAAGTTGTACAGGGCGTCTTTTCAGCTTTCCCTCTGTATGTTCACTTACTTTTGTAGATCAGGCTAACCTTACCTTTGTGTTCTGATCTTCCCCAGACAATTTTGTTGTTTCAAGGCTGAACCAAATATTATTTACATTATTACTTGCTGGGGTTTTTTTTCAGAGTATGGAAATTGATATTGCTGCCAGGTTGGAGGCTGCTAATAGCGACAGACTTACAGCTCTAAAAGCAGTTACAAACTTTGGCATGCCTATAGAAGAGTTTGATTCTGAGGGTGAGTCTTTGTGGTAGTGAAAGTTCTGATATATGTCTGTAACTCCTTTAGTTTCTCAGTCCCTTACACAATATTTTGTGTCGTAAAGTAAGTAAATAGACTTAGGTCTTACTAGTCAGGACTTTCTTTTTCTCTTTAAACAGAGGCTGAAATCTTCCAGAGGAAACTTGATGAAACAACAAAGCTGCTCAGAGAACTGCAGGACGCTCAAAATGAACGACTGAGTACAAAACCACCGCCTAATATGATTTGTCTTCTGGGTCCATCTTACAGAGAAATGCACTTGGGTAAATACACTTTTTCTGATCATTCTTGCAGAATTGATCAAGTCCCAACTGGTATCAGCTCCAAGAAAAAAAAGTCTCAAGGGCTGTAGTGTAGATTACATGCTCTGTTAGGCCTAGAGGAGTAACTTAAACTTCTTTGGATGTAAAGCCAGATGAAACTTAAATAGTAATTACAAGTATTTTCTCTTTGTTCCTAAATGCCCCTAGAACTGATTAAAGCTTCTGTATGCCATAGGGCAGAGAATAGCCAAATACCAATAACTCCATGAGTTTTGCAGTGTCTTTGAACAGGTCTGCTTAAGTATTGCCAAGTTATTATTGCAAGGCCAGCTTTGGTCCAGGATGGATCTGGTGATCAGTCTGTTGAGTTCACTAATTAATACCAGTCATACATTCAAGGCCAGCTTTGGTCCAGGATGGATCTGGTGATCAGTCTGTTGAGTTACACTAATTAGTACCAATCATACATTGTTTAGTTATTTGAGCAAACCTGCTTGTCTCACAGATCAACTACACAGCTTTTGTTAATGGCAGCCCTCTAAGATATGACTGTGTGCAGGGTGCCTGTTTGGCAAGTAAAACTGACTTGTGCAAGACTATTCATGGTCTCAACTAAACCACATTACTGAAGCAATATGACAAAGTCGGTACCACACCAAGTCTAAGCCAGACCAAATACTATCTTTTTTTATGGTTCACTACTTATGGCTTCCTTCTTGAGGAAAAACTACATTTGTAGCAGCAAGCACAGTCTGTCTTTATATCCAAAGCTTTGTGCTGAATCCCAAAATCCTGCTATTACTAACACCAGTGCTGTGTGGGTGCCATCAGCCCTCTCCCAGCTGCTGCATGTGTGGCCCAAGTTTCATTAACTTACTCTTTTAACTTCTGGTGTTTCCTGATGGCAGCAAGCCTTGGGCAGCAGCTGTTCATTCCTCCTGTTCTTCTTACTTTGTTTCTTGGTTCCCAGGATGTCTTTCCCGGCTGCACACAGCACAGGACAGCTCTTCTGTTCTAGAAATATTATTTAACATAGTTGCCTTTGCACTAAATAATTGAACTGCTTGCAGGGTGATTCAGCAATTTGGTGTCTATATGTAGCACATAAACACATCCTCTTATCTTTTCCAGCGGAGAGAGTAACCAATAACCTGAAAGAACTTGCCCAGCAAGTGACTCCGGGTGACATTGTCAGTACCTACGGAATCCGGAAAGCAATGGGAATCTCGGTCCCTCTACCTGAGACAGAAGACAGCTGGGTAGATTTGACAGAGGGTGAGTATATGAAAACATCTTGTAGCATCTGTTCAACTGGAACAAAACCACATCTGCAAATCCTTAGACTGGCTTATGGTAAAACTTTGCAGTAGTGTGGTTCCAATTTTCAGTTCTTCTCTCCTTTTTAAATTCTGTTTCAAATGGAAAGTTGCTGCCTTTGGTCTCAGTCCAAAATGAATCTTTTGTGTGTAGGGGACTTTGGTTCAGCTACATGATTACTCTACAATCCATTTTACAGCACTGCCAGATTTTAAATCTCAGTAATTAATTTAGTTTTAATTTTCCCCATTTTGCATGAGGTTGCAAGAGAGGAGTTGAAATTCCTCACTTGCTAAAATGAGTACATCGTGATTCCTTCTTCTCCAGGCTTTTGGCTGTGCAGGCCTTTTGCTTAGTTTGGCAAGCTGTCATGCTTTGGAACTTGACAGCATGAGTTCAACTTACCCTATCCAGCCAAAAGCAGCGGCTGTTTTTGCTGGATTAGGGAGTCTGGTCAGTGGAGTCTCGGTGCCAGATCCTGTCCTCCCCCATTTATAACATGCACAGCAAAAGAGCACCCAGAGTTAGGGTAGGGCAGGAAGAATTTCCTCTCACAAAACATAATTCACACAACAAATTTAGTCAATCTGTGGCTTATGAAAGTGTTCATTAAATAACATTTTAACTGAAAGAGCAGGATTAATTCAGGAACTCATTCCTATTTTTTAAGGAAACTGCTCAAGAAATTTCCATTTCAAAATTATTGAGCCTTTTCTTTTCCATAACATTACACAGAGGCTTTGCAACAGAACCAAATGAAACACAGGATTTTCTGGGACTGTTGAAGAGCAAACAGCTAACACAGGACTGTCTGCATAAATAGCAAATGACCTGAGGCATGCTCTGCTGGATATGCATGTCTTCACTTGAGCATTCTGTGGTCAGTAACCTGCTGTCTGTTGTAAACTTTCAGACTTTGAAGAGCCTAAAAAGACCATCACTGTCCCTGAAAATGAGTGTGGTGCAGTTACTAGCTGAAGATTCTGTTCAGCTTACAGCTGTTTGTTTGATTCTGTTTAAGACCCAGGTAAAAGTCCTTCAGGTGCATTCACCATGTGTGTTTATTGTGTGTTAAACTACTTTTGTTTATTAAATTTTGGAGCTGATGGCTTTTGAAGGGTTTGTATTAGTTACTTCTGCTATGTAAATGCACTAAATTATTCTTTTTGCATTCTCTAATATTTTTAAGCACCTCTGCCGCATTTAAGTTTTCCTAAATTACCAAGTATCTGGAAAAGTCAAAGCATAATGAAAATGTGCCTATATATGGTGCAGGGACTCAACCAAAAGTTTCTAGAAGCAATGTATAGACTTGTCTCTGAGTCTGGTTAGTGCAAACATCATTAGTGTAAACATCGTTAGTGTTTGAACATGCCCCTTTTTAAAATTACTGTGCAACTCTCATGGACATGAGGAAGAGAAATAAACTTTTTATACAAAACTGATGCAGTGTGATGAATTAACAAAAGCTCAGCTTTGTGATGCTTTGAATGTGGATTAATCTCCTCTTAGAGAAACCTTGCTGTGTACTTACAGTATCCTAAAACTGGAGGGCAAGCTTACACCCATGACCAGAAGTGAGACTAACATTGTCAGCAAGTACAAGTACCCTGTGGTTGTGGTACAGTCATCTCAGACAGTTCTTCATGTTATGCAGAGGTATTAGCAGATACTGTCTGGATAATGGTTCTAGGCTCGTTTGCCAGAAAGCCTTCTCCCGTTAAGACAGCTCCCTGTTCACCAGAGGGGCAGACCAGCAGCACAGCTCTCAGGCACAGAGAGCTCGAGCATTGCCTGGGCACAGCTGCAGCCAGCAGCACACCCAAGCAGGCTTTCCCTGTGCTCCCCATTTGCTCTCACACCATCACACAGTGCTGCACGTGGCTTCTACCGTAGGCATCCTTCATTGTTTTTAAATGTTGCTTTTTTTAATCCCTGATTCCAGTATAACCCTGTTGTCAAGAGGAACGAGCTGTAGGTTAGAGCCACTGCTCACGTGTGCAGTGACAGGGAACTGAACTGAGAGGTAACTTACAGGCCAAACAGCATTGTGAATTCCACCCCCTCCCCTCAGTCTTCTGGCCAACATCATATCCTTGCTTCCTCTTTTCCTTCCTCTCTGAAAATGCTGCAGAAAGATTTGTTTTTAAACTTGCACAATTACTAAAATACATAGCAAAATTTTTAACTGTCACCCTGGGGTTTTCTCCAGTAGTTTCACTTGTCCCAGAAGACTTAATAGTCACCACTGGAGTTTTTTCAGTTCTAGGCAATAGCAGCTGAATTATTACTCCAGGGAATAAATTCTTCCATTACTATATAAATCATCTTCATGCTACAAGAAAAAGACAATATTCAGGGCAAATGTGCTAGCCAAATCCTTACTCGCTCCTTCCATAGCATCTTACTGCCCATCACTCACCTTTTAGATGGGGCACGAGGTGGCTGCTAGTGACAGAAGTATTTCTCATCAGCTGTTGAACATGTGGATGTCACTCTAAGCATTTTCTACTGGCAACGTTTTTTAAAAAGATAAATACCAAGGCAGTTTATGAGTAAAAAGAGTTCCATTTAGGCTGCAGCACTATAAAGAATATACCTCCTTTTCACGGGGATCTCCATCAAAATAATTGCAAAACCAGACATGTTTCAATAAGCTTTTTATTTCATAGTAAAAACAAAGTTTGTTCTTTAAACCAGATACCTAGTTCCAGATGTTATTAGCTCTTCAAATTAGATACAGTGCCATTTTTTCCATTTAAGAAAAAAAAATAATGCTGCAAGGAAGATTTTTCCACCAAGATTGAACTGTGAAACTTAAATTGAAGAAACAATCTCAGAAGGACTGCTGAAAACAATTATTTCAATACAGTTGCTTGTTAAGTTGAACTTTTTCTGTGGTTGAATATAGCTCTTATACAGTTCAGTTCTGGTGAGAAATTAGTCATCCTCTCTTTCATTACACAGAGTTTCTAACTTCCCCAAGAAGGCTGTGCACAGCACACCAAGTCAGCATTCTTTTTAAATCTGCAACCAAACCCAACTCCTTCCCCTTTGGAAGCTGCAGCTCTTCCTGCCACTTCTGCAAATGAGGTTGAGTCGAAGGTACACCCAAATAAGTTACCAGCCTGACAGGCAACATCATGTAAACAAAAGCATTTCAAAATGCTGTTACAGACAGCAAATGTTCTTTCTTAGATAACTTACATCTACAGTCTACAAGTTCTGTGAACAGGAGCACTTCAGAGCCAGCTCTATTTATAGGCATAATGCACTTTTCAAATTAGATTCATGAGACAAATGGTCACTTCACCTAACATGACATCAAAGACTGCTGAAAGGAGCCTTTGACACATGCGTGGTCCTGTAAAACAATAAATATCTCTAAAGAAATGCTTGCTGAGCACCTGTAACTACAAATACACAACATACAAGAGTAGCAAAAACTGTTTGAAGGTTTTTTCAACTACAACACTGACTTGCACTAACACGACGGCGAGTATGTCACTTCCTTCTTCAGCAGAGCCCATGCATGAACTTGCCACCTCAAATTCAGGTTTTCTTACATGCTGTTTTCTGTTGGAGACCTACTACACACATAGATTTGATCTACAAAATTGACAAAGACTACCAGTACAATTTTTAATCCACAGTTGGACAATACTTACATTTGTTCCTGTCTTGATATATAGTCACTTCCTCTTCTAAAGAAGTTACACAGTAATTAGAAGGCAGCAGTGAAGCACAGGACTGCTTAAACACTTGTCCAGCATGGGTTGGTAGTAAACCCAGAAGCATTAGGAAATGCTGTTTGTAGAGGAGTAAGGCTCAGCCAAATAGGTGTTGTACTCACTAATCACTGTGCTGTCCAGCCCTAACGTGGTATATGGGGAAAGGAGGAAGCCATCCTTAGTGAGGGACATAACAGGGCACAAGATGCTAGCCTTACAAACTACTGTCATCTGCACCAACAGCAAATAAATTAAGAGATTGCAGTAAGTAAAGAATGCCAATGTAGAAATTAGCAAAGGACACTAACAGCTTAAAAACCTTACAAATAAACTAATTTACACCGTGTCCACAATGATCTTATGAATGCTCTACTCACATTTCCAGTATTGGGGCTCTGCTGAAACATTTCATTATGAACACATTTTTTCCATACGTCCTTTTGTAACCTTCAAAACCAGTTTATGAAAAATCTGCACTGCCTTTGAAAGGCATAGTAACCAGCCAGTGGCTAGTCAAACTGTAGAAATAAGAACGGGGAAAAAAAACCAAAACCCACCACACACAGTTCTGTTTATACAGTATCTGCTACTGTTTCTAATACTATTTTAGTAATTCTGTTCTTCAACTTCCCAGCAATTCAGATTTTTTTTAGTTCCTTAAGTGCCCTCAAGAACACAGCACAGAATCAGAATTCCTGCTGGGATCAGCAACACCAGCTGCTGTCAGAGCCTGATCCCTGTGCTCCTCACCATCACTTGTACTTTTTGAAATATAACGTAAAAAATTTAAGATTTACCATGACAGAACAAAATGCACATACAGATACTAATTACAGAGAAATACAAAGGAGAACATGTAATATAATGTAAACACACTGAACTAGATTAAAGGTATTTCAGGTATTTGTGAACAGCTCTTGGTCGTGAAAACATCTGCATAACACAAGGTACTACTGTGGAGGAGGCGAGGGTGGTCAAGTGACCCATACTGTGCAATTCAGGTTTTTTTCCCAAAAGAGCTCAGAACAGTCATCACGTGACACACTTGAGTTTCCTTGCATTCCTCTTCCCATTATTCAGCTGTCTTCTGCTGTGCAGTCTGTTCAGCACTGAAGCAGGATAGGCAGTGCCCTCAGTTTCAGCACACGTGTCAGGACAAACACAATACTGTAAGCAGGTGTGTGTCTAGCAGGCAATGAATGTTTTAGCATAGGAACGAGTTCTGCAGTGCATCCACACCAGTTGCCACCAGAGCTGTTAAGACTCCCAGTGCAGGTAAGGAAAGCAACTAACTGAAAATGCCTCATGGCAATTCCAGGTAAATCCTCAAATTACTTCAGGAAAAAGTAGTCTTTTTCAGACTGACATTTGTATATCTTCTAGGAACTTCTCAGAATTCTTTATTAAAAAAAAATTCTCTCATCTTGAGATGTAGAAGAGATAGGAACAGTATATACATGTTTTTAGAATAAAGTCCTTCACATAAGGAGGGAAATTCTACGTCTTCACAGAAGGGAGGCAGATCTAAGTCTATTTTTATTAACTTCATTTTAGCCTCAGTTCAGTCCCATGCCTTGAAATTTGGCTGTCTCAGTGCAAACAAAATAAGTCCTCAGTTCTCCCTTGCCTTTGACATTAATGAGTCCCCTACATTCACATGAGTATCCCAGCTCCTGTAGTATTTTGCTTGTTTCTTCGGTGACCTTTGTGTGAAAAGAATAAGAAACTCTTGTGAAATTCTTCTGATTATTCACATTAAAGCAAAATTCCACAACCAATTGGAAATAATGCTTTGGACATTGCAAGGCTCATAGTTTTACCTGGATCTTGCCAAGCTCCCCTGTGCTCTCCATTCGGCTGGCAACATTAACAGTGTTGCCCCAAATGTCGTACTGAGGCTTCCGGGCACCAATCACACCAGCAATCACAGGGCCATGATTGATCCCTGCAGAAACACAAGCAGTTGTCATTACTGAGGTAGAAAGGGATGTGATTGTGTTAGCTGTAGCTTCAGGGATAAAAAAACCATCCCAAAACTTAACTCTGCAACACCTGTCTAGCAATCAGTATTAGTGCTGTTCCATAAATATTCATACTGAGGCTCAGGAGATGTGAAGTGACTCACTCATTGCAAAATAGGAAGTCTAGGGCACAAAGCAAAATTCTTCCTCTTCTACTTTTACTATATAGAAATGAGCATTGTAATGACAATACTGTCTTCAGTCAACAGTCACCAACAGGATACTGCACTCTTCATCTGTACCTTTCATTTCCTCCAAAGTCATGCAGCTGCACTCTTCCTGCTGCTCCCTCCAGTGATGAGAAAATACCCATCCACGCAGGAGCTTGGCCTGTCTGAAAAGCTGACCACACAACACTGCCTTTGGCTCTTCAGCACGTGGACCTACCTCATCCTGCCTGTTTCTCACCTCTCTGAGCTGTGGCGTCCACATTCCCCACAAACAGAGCTTACCAACGCGTAGGCGGAAGTTGTTAAAGGAATGTCGGTTGATGCCATCCAGTTTACTCATCAGGGCAATTCCATACTCCACCATAATCCCAATGTGAGCGTGCTGCCTTTCCCTGTCCTGTGCAAGTCATAACACATATTAATGACCAAATTACAACATGAAAGGCTGTGTCAGGCTGCTACTCCAAAGCAGTACTACAAGTGTGAAAACACACACTGGAGTGTTTATAAGGATGAGACCACTCATCCTTGTAAATGCAGAACTGCAGAATTTCAAAACTCCATTAAATACAGCTGGGATGTATATGAGATAACAAGCATGATATGATTGAATTTTATAACAAATTATTGTCTGTCCTTTAGGGTTTCACCTTTAATTTTACATAGTTTGGGTATATAATTATTATGTGCATATATTAGTATATGCATCTTAATGTCATACACAAACCTGCTATACTGAAAATGAGCCAGAGAAATTAGTGTTAATTCTTCCAGCTAACAGTTTAAGACCTAACGTGGCACTTGAGGATTCTCTTTCTGTGCCAGTTCTCAGGTATCAGAAAAAGCCTACTGTCCAGTTCTGAGATGGCCTTTTCTTTGGCTCCCATTCTTTGGCTCCCCTATTATTAGAGCCTTTCTGTTATGCATCTAGGAATGTTAAACTACTGGAATCAAAGATGAAAGATGTAAAAAGTATGCTGGGATTACAGACTGAATAACTTAATTCAGAAATAAAATGGAACTAGGAGATAAATAGTGAAATCAGCAGGAGACAATACAATTTTGTCATAATTTTCCACATTTCAGGAAGTCACCGTGCATTATATTCTTTTTTGTATCATGTTATATTTCATAACTTTAAGCACACCTATGCACCCACAGAATACTGAAGGCAGGTTCAGAGCCAACATACCTGGTTGTTCTCCTGGCCTGGTGTTACACTGAGACCAGCTGCTGCCATGTAAGTGCTTCCAATCGTTTTTATTTTTTCAACACCACTAAATTTAGGTTTTAACAAGAGCTGTTTGAATGGAAAGAAAACAAAAACTTGAGACTTTAATACCATATTTCAGTGTAGTATTTAACCAGAAATCTTATAGTGCCTACCATAAGCATTAAACATCTCTAGCAATACTATCACTCATATGAAGATTAAATAAAATACTGAGGATTAGTTTCACAGTTTTGCTCTACCCACTCACAGGATAAATGAAAGCATTGGAGTACTGAAATAAAGTCCTTAAAGTCAGGACTTTCAAAGCATACTTCTAATGGATTAGATGAAGTACTTGAAAATCCCAACTAGATGGGAAAATATCCTTCAAGATTGCAGGCTGAAGCCAGAATATTAGTACAGCACAAAAATGGTTTTTCCCCCTCTAATGCTCACAGATCTAGTGAAACATTTATTTTGCAGTAAATATGTAATCCAGTGCATTTTTGACAGAAGCTTAATTACCTCATCAAAATCAGCAATGATTTCATTTAACAGCCTCAAGCATTCCAAGCCTTCTTTATTGACATCACATTCAGTGTAGAACACCTTAAAATCTGGTACTGATGCAAACATGACACAGACACAGTCGTAGGATTGATGGTACCAGTCCTAAAGGAAAGCAATAAACCCACACATTGTCAGCAGCCACACTCCCCCCACAGGTACTCACGCTCATGATACTTGTTTGTAACCAGAAATCAAATTACAGCTTTCCTATGAATTCAACCACATCTCTTATTCTATCAGAAACATAAACAAAATAGATTTGCCTAAGGAAAAGCTGAGATTCTTTAAAGATACCTTAAACATTTCAGTCTACTTGGACATTGTCATTCTTCTGAGAGTTCTCTCTCGACATGCAGGCAGAATGAGATTTCTTAAAAAAATCATTATCAATTAATTTCTCTCTGGGAGATACTATCTGCTCCTCAACTCATTCCCCTAAAAATTACAACCTATCCTCTCTGGTAAAATACAGTCTTTGTAAAGCAGTAAATCTCATTTAAATATTTGCCAAACTAAAACTTCTCATTTTTTTGAGGGCATCTGGTTAACATGTTGTTTGGTTTACAAAGGTGTTGGAATGCAAACAAGAGGCAAAGATTGCAGCAGTTTACAGTCTGTGCTCTTTTTTGCATCATGTGTAGTATATATCACAGAAATCCAATTTGCTGTCCTTCACATAGGAGAGCTTCAACACACCTCATTTCGTTTTTCTCCAATGAAATATGCAGCAACATGTGCTGGAAGTACATTTTCTAGCAAAAGCCTGTTAACATTCTCCATAGTTTCAAATTGTTCATGTTCTTTTTTAAACTTATTCTTCCACAGACAATCCAGTCGACAGTAATAGTCAATCTGCAAAGAGATCAAATATGATAAATTAAATCCATCAAATAACTCACTGAAAAATATGAGGCAATTTTCTCAAGAAGTGTAGTAGTAATAGTTCCTTCAAGGCCTTTTGAGTCTATATAGTTATGAAAAATATGCTTTGAGAGCAAAGGTCACAAAAATATGAAGCAGCCACTAAGACCAAATGTCATTTGATACCATCAAATGGTGTATTTACCAAAATGACACTTCAGTAATATAATTATTTTTATCTTGAATTGCTATGTTGATTTAGAATGAATACTGATATATAAATACAGATAGATCAAAACTGGAAGAACCAGGAAGTTCTCACGTCTGTGATGCAAACACTGTTGAAAACTAGAAAAATGTTCCCATCCTTTCACAGTAAAAATTCTTTCATTGCCAAAAACTAATTAGAAGTGTGTTTTCTGCAAGACCAGAATATTTAAAAATATAAAGATATATACTAATGTAAAGCACAATTTCAAGGAACAACACTTCTGCATTTTATCTAAGTCAAGTAGCTGCAAGTAAAGGAACTAGGTGATTGTGTTTTAAATACATACCTGTTTTGCAAGTAAAACTAGGGTTATGTAAAACAGAACCAGATATAAATTAGTCATTATCCTTGGCTCTTTGATGAAAAACCTGAAAATAAGAAAGCAATACAAAGTTATCTGTATCCTTTAAGAAAATCTGCACGCTGGAGGGTTGGGGTGGGAGGTGAGGGGAAGAGGGTGTCTGCCCAGACTTGCACCACAGTGTCACTGCTCATTTGTGCACAGGTCCTGTCCTAACAACGAGAAAGGATGATCAGCCAGTACCACTCATGGAATGATGCATTTCACATCACAGCACACTGGGTGTTGAAACCTTGTTCAGTAGCTGTCGTAGTGAGATGCTCAAGTAAACAGGGCTTTATCTTAATGGAGCCATCTCATTTCCACCAGACCGAGTTTCATCTCCCACCCCACACCGCCCTACAAAAAGACAGCCAACAAAACATTGAGATAGGAAAACAGACTTTCTTATTTGTGGAAGGAAAGACAATAACAAATTAAAAACCTGAATTCCTAAGACAAAGACAGCAATTAAATCATATCTGTATCTGAATCACCACTCATATTTCATAGTAAGATCAGTCTTACCACATCTATTACTTTTTACACATGCAAATTAAATTCTCATCACATGAATGATTAAGTTCACTCAAGGTTTTTTAAGGTGTACTGACAGGTTACAGCCCCTGTAAAATAAATTTATTCTAATCTTCAGCAATGAGACTATGCTGAGGAATCTGAGAAAGACTTAAAAACTAACAGTAAAGCAGTAAAGACTTTGCATGTGATTTCTCTTCAGTATTTTCAGTTTCTGCAATTAGATCAGGTAAATTGCTGTTACTTTTCAAAATACCTGTAAGAGTTCACCATCCTATTGACTCCAAGCTTGAGCCTCAGAAATTAGCAAGGCTTCATAACTTAATATCAACCTTACATTAATATTCTACTCTCTAGTCCTTAATATAGTCCAAGGCTTCTTGGAATCTCAGAAGCCACATTACAGATTTTTTTCAGAGAACATATACTTTGTTTAAAAAATATATGTAAAAAAAGTGACATGGTCTAATAGGATTTCCATGTTAACTTTACAGCAAGGTTTGCAGTGTCTGGCTTATAAGATTTTGATATTTCAACATTCCAGTACAAAATATTCCAGCACAAAAATCTAACACCTCCTTAAATGAAACATAAAAGGATGAGAAACTTTACAGTGCACCTGGTACTGTTGCCATAGTTGTCTTTGTGCTGAAGGGTATTAAAAATGATGAGGTAGACAGTCACAGCAATGGACAGGAGGAGAACTTTGAGTTCGAAGCTCATTTGAAGAAATACCGAGCAGGCAATGAACCCCAATATACAGCAGTAAGCATAATACTGTAAAAGAGCAAGGTAAAGGTAAAGAGCCTTTGCATTATTTAGAACTTATGTCTAAGAAATATTCAAAACATAGCAAATGTTCTGAGTTCATGATCACTGCAATTTAAAGCAAAGAAATTGCAATCACTTAAAGCTATATTTTTAATGGCACTAAAAGGATGAACTTAATATTGATTTGCATTTACTTTTATAATTTCTAATGGGTAAAAAAATATTTAAACCAAAAAAAAATCAACATAAGTAAGCAATGTCAGATAAAAACTGAAGTGCCAAGAATTTATCTCCTGAAGTTTATTAATTTAAGCATTTATTTATTCAAAGTTCAAGAGTAATCTAAAATAGGTTCATAGTCCATAGAACCAGCAAGTCCAGTGCTCTGATCCTATTCTGTGCTTTCCCATTGCAACCTAGAGCAGATTCCCATTCCCAGCTCCCACACCAGTAACACATGGAGACTGACTGGTTATCCAGCCTGAGGCACAGCTCCTTAGAAGAGCTGTGATTGATGCTGATAAACATTATCAAGCTATGGCCACTGTCCCCACTATGGAATTACTGAGCAGGGGAGCCCCAGCTCGGGCAGGGTGTCCCAGGTCAGCCTGCAGCTGGCAGCACCAAACACGGTACCAAGCGTGTGCTGCAGACAGGATTGCTGCCTGCAGCCACGGGCACAGGTGTGAGGGGCTCAGCTGCCATGCTCCAAAATTATCTCAGCTTCTGCTCCTCAAGAATTCATTTCTCTTTATGCACAAAGCACTGTTTTCTCACCTGTAACAGCACATGCCTACCACAGAACTGTGAGATTCTTGACTGTATAATTAACATTTCTACTGAAGTGAATGAAACCAGAATAATTTATGAGGCAACTCCTAATCAGAGCCCATATATCACACATTATACCAAATCTGTCATCCTAAAGACATTGAGTCTACCTCCAAAAGACATTGAACACTCTACCTCAAGCCAAACCTCTGAAAAAGGAACCACTATGTAGAGAATGGCAAGAGAGGTCTGTCAGCCCACTTAAGCCCTTTCACTCTGTAAACACACTTTACTGGGACTCTTGCAAGTTCAGCTCTCATCTGTCAGACTCAAACATTATCATCACATGTTTTGCTGGTTTTTTCCTTAAAGATTTAGGCCTACTTCTAAGTCTGAAATTTCTAAAAACTGCAAAGCCATACTTTGTGCAACAGCAGCAGCTGAATTATCTTGATTTCATGAACAATTTTTCTGCTGTCAAATATCTAAAAGAGCTTCCTTTCATACCTTTCATTCCTTTCAATAGAACCTGCCATTTGTCAGTAATATACACCACATTCAAAGATCAGGCCTAAGTAAGGCGCGTTCACTACTTACAGTTTCCTCTACGCAGGAATGAGTTGTGTTTCCAAAAGCCTGATTTACAAACATGCAAGAACAAAAGGTTACCAGGTGAGCACAATGTGTGTTTCATATGTGTAACTTATCATTTTTCATAAGCATCTGAATAAAAGGCTCCTCACACAACTTGCTGCACATAATTCAAAAATATTGAATTGTCTCATCTAAAGGGGTGGCCAGGTGACAAAGGAGCATCCCAAACACTTGGATGAACTCAAAATAGAACACAACTTTGTCATTAAAGATAGAAAAAGTGAAATTCCCAGAAATTATACTCTTGTGTCACTACTAAGTGCTGAATTTACCCTTACAGAAATGCTAGAGAATACCTTTCAAATATGCTGAGAGACCAAAATAAACCAAAACTTCAGTTTATACATGAATACTCTAGACTTCTGAAAATCCCTAAAGGATGCACAAGAAAGCTATATATATAAATATAAAATATCCCTTAAAACTGCCTTGTGTCATGAGCAATTCTTCATGTTCAACAATTTAAAAAACCCAAAACCCTATCTTTATAAATAAAAATTAAAAAATATAAAATGTTGTCATCCATTATGACATCATCCTACATGATAGGAGTTGGACTTTGATGATCCTTGTGGGTGCCCTCCAATTCAGGATGTCCTATGATTCTATACCCACCATCCAAGACTCATTTTATTTCAATCCTAGAAATTAGGATGGTACTGTACTCACATAGGTGGTAGCACTCAGGTCATTTGATCCAGTAAAGTTGGCAGGTTTGTTCTTTTCAGTAGTCTTGATTTATTGGAGGGGAAGAAAAAAAAAACCACAAAAAACCCACATCAATAAAACCATCATACCAACTTATTAGCAGGTAATCACCAATTTTTTTTCCCTATGTATTTTACAAAGAGTGTTGATCTGGTTGTCTTTTCACTGCTGCTGAATAAATGTTGAAATACAACTGCTTCCCATGTAGTTGTATTAAACATATATGCACACACAAGCTGCAAGAAGGTTAAAATTTACTTATTTTCTAACTGGGGGTAAAGGTTTACATTATGGCTATGTCAATTTAGCAACTACCTGGCACAAACATGTGGTTTTGTCTCAACCCCAGTTTCACAGCTGCTGTTCCTGTTGTCTTTCAGTCTGTCTCTGGTGGTGTTCACATGACACCACTGTGAGTCAATGCAAGGACCTAAGCCAGCAGAAAAAACACCCTTTGAAAGAGAACTAAGCATTTTCTGCAGTATTGCTTTCAGAAGGAACTCCCCATGCAATCAGGAGAATGGCAAGGCAAAGGAACACATGGGATCAGGAGGACATCAGTTTTAGTAGTTAACTACCAGTTAAGTGGAACTGATCACACACAGAGCTTGTTTAAATAAAAAACCAGCACAGTTATTCAAATGGACATGCCCCAGGTGCAATATAATATTCAAACTAAATTTAAAAGACAGATGCCGTTTCCACTTTACTCCAGCTGTACCTATCCACAATGCCTTTGCTTTTAGAAGAGAGCCAAGCTATATTCTTCCTCACCCACATTACTACCAGTGAGTGCAAATACCACACTGAACTGCTTAAAGTGCTGCCTTGCCACTGCCAAATATTTCAAACCACTTCAAAACAGGAAAATATCTTAGTGAGGAGGGTTACAATCAAGAGCAGTTGTAAGTGCTGTCTTGAAACCAAGAAAAGTTTGTAGAACTGAAGTCTATCAAGTGTACTTTCAGTTCCACAAACTAGGAGCTTTTATTTTTAATGCTTTTACTTGACATCATGCACTATCCCTGTGCAAATCAACTCGTGTTGTAAGGCAGGCATTAGAAATAGCAGCAAAAATTGGTACTTGATGAAAAGGAAGCAGGAACTTACTTAAACTGTGGGTTTTACAATAGTTTTACAATAAGTTCATTAATTAATGTGATTACTTACCAAATTAAAAATGGCTATAATCAGCAAGGCAGCTATAGTGATGACTGCTAAAGGCAGCCTGAGTAAAGGCATTGTTTCCACCTTCTCTGAGACAGCACACAGACGGCGCAGGAGAGGCCACTGCTCTGAGCAGCACTTCTGTAAACACAATTAATTCGTTTCAGTAACAGATAACACTTTGATACAGGGGAACAAATATTTCTAAATATAAAGTTGTCCTTTTTTTCTGCAGGAGAGCGTCGACAGCCTTCACTGGAATTCTAATTTAGAAGTTTGAATCTCCTCTTTCTGAGTTCATGTCTAACACCTTTCCCCAACTGAAAATAGAAACAATGCTTCCTTTCTTCAAAGGAGTTGGGTGCTAAAATTTTCTGAATTCGTGCTTTAAAAATGCAGAATTATGGTTTGAAAGTCCTAGAGAAAAGTTAATAAAAATGCAGTAAAAATTTTGTATTTTTTTAGTTATAGAGCTATAATGTTATATTTGGAACTACATTTTTTAGATTAATAAATCAAAACCAACCCTAGACAGTCCTCATTCTTGCCATCCCCATGTCCTCCAGTTGTTGCTATAGACAAAAACAATCCAGTAAAGCATATAATTTTAATGACTGCAAGCATTATTCCATTATTTGCCTACTCCAAAACACTCCCAAGCTTAAAACTCAAGTCTCATACAACTGCAGTCCTGGAATTTTCTGTTTTCTCCATGTGTTTCTACACATGGAGAAAAAACACATGAATGCATATACACACACACACCTCTCTCTCTATACAGGTATATATACAAAAATTCATGTTTATGTATATATATAAATACCATACATACATAAAATCCATAAATCTGTCTAACCATACAATTAAATGAATCATAAACCTTTATCCCATGTCCTGAGTGCAATTTTTTCTTATTTTTTTTCTTTCCCTTTTGCACAGCTTGACTGTGGCTCTGTAAGAGACTCTTTCCCTGGAGAGCTCCATCCCCTCACTGGGTGCTGCACGTCCTCACTCTGGCACAGTGCAGGTTTCATGAGCGCAAGGAACATTCCAGAATCCCTTCTCTAAAATCCCTTCCCTCTCCCCACCCTGCTTCCAGGCAGTTCTTGAAGTGAGGAGGCCTTTTTTTTTTTTAACTCTGTATCATTGAACTCTCCATCACTAGGGGCTCTCTCTGTCACTATATATTTTTAAACATTAATTGCATGTGTTTAATAATGCAAAGAAAAAGGAACTACAAGTGCAAAGTGTCCCAATTGATGTAATGGTGAATTTGGAATTCTAACAGCAATGAAATTGTTGCCAATAAATTATTCATATGTTTGTAATTTTCATTACACTTCATAAATTATTATGAAAACTGATCTTCTGTTCCCACCTATTTCAATATTGTTTCCAGCATAGAGAATAACAGTATTTACAACCAAAAGTACTATTAATGACAAACATAAAAATACATTTTATAAAACCAACCCCATGTTCTCCCTCCTAACCATCTATTCTTGTACTCAAATAATTCTGAATTATTATTTAAATAATTATGAATCTGAGAATTTTCAGACATGAAAACCTGTTTCAGGCAATGGAATCTTTTGGTAGTCTCAGGTTCAAGGCTCCTGTAACTCCTATTGAAATGACTAAAATTTCCCTCAGCCTAAAAGACAGACCAAGTTGCTGAAATATATCCATCCACTTTTGAAAACAGGAAGTGTTTTTTAAAAGTAAACTTACCAGACACTTCTCAGCAAAGCACACAAACAAAATAAGCACAATGATGACTGCAACAACTCCAAAGGAAATTCCCAGTTCTGCAGTTCTAAACAGAAGAAAAAAAACACTTAAAAAACCAAGTTTAAATATGATTTTTTTTTTTCAAATAGCACTGAATAACCATAGCATCACACAGGTTATGGTTGCTCTGTTGCACAGTCACTGCTTTGAGATTCTGCTCCTGATGGCCTGAGCCACTGCCCTGTGCATAAACCACATGGAAACTGCACTGCAACAGCCACGAAAAACAAACATGCATGCACTTCAGAATTATCCATCATCTGCTTTCTTGGAGCTGTGACTAGCAGCTCAAAGTTGCCTCCTTGTAGCAGTACAGAAAAGGATCACTGAGCACAGTTTAAGCAGCGAAATCCCATTTTCCTACTGCTCAATGTCTTTATAGCCAACTGTTCTTATAAAACTGACCTCCTCCCTGGATGTACTAGGCAAACAAAAATGAAAAGAAATATTTTATTTTATTTTATTTTCATTCTAATATGTTAGCTCTTATGCTAACGATATTAATGTAATCTTTATCATGGGGTAAATTAATGTATGTTTCTTAAATTTAACCCTTCAGGAACTCCAAAAAGTTCTGAAAAGAGCACATGCACTTCACTTTAGCTGTTGGTTAATTTGAATTATAAATAATTAAAATACCAGCACTTACTTTGGCATGATAAGCATCTGGATCACAAATATACAAAGGAACACAAAACTGGCACAGGCAAAGTAACTCTTGAGTTTCAGAATAGGAATTGTGCGATACTGAAACAGACAGAATAAAGCATCAGGGTCATTTCAGGGGTGTTTTTTCTTCTTTTCATTACAGTCTTGTGATGACACATATATAAAAGTTTATACTGTATTATTAAAAATATACTAAAACAGAAGAAAAGAAGATGACCAGCAAAAAAAAAAAAACCCAAAAAACAGTCACTTGAACATCTTTCAAGAAAAACAGCCCAGGCCAAAAGATAATTTCCAAATTTCCAGCCTAGAGGGAAATCCAGGCAGTATGTAAAACAGCTCTCCACAGATTCCCATGGCCAAAATCCTTATCAAAAAAGGACATACACAGAAGTAAACCTAAAGTGTATGTACAGACCCACACCAGTAACTACATCCACAGCACAGTAAATTTAACAGCAGTTATTCAAACTGAAAAACTACAGTGCACCTAACAAATATCAGCATTATATCTACAATGAAATAGCCACAGCAAACAAAGTGTTTTCATTATGGATACAGAATTTTTTTTTCCTTTCCTTCTTTAAATCTTGTTACTTTAGAGGGAAGTAGTTTATATAAAAAAATTATCAAACTCCCACTAACTCCTTTATGGCAAGAATTTGACCACAGATTAGAGACATTTAATTAAGCTCAGAATTTTCATTCTCAAGGAAGAATGACCAGTTCAAATGACTCCTGAAATCGGCTTTCCATTAGTTACCAAAAACCTCTGGGATGTGCAGTCACCTCCAGAATCCAGTTTCAGAATGCAAAGTTTCAAACATTCTTATGCTGCTCTGAAGGGCAAATCAAAGACCAGGAAGGATTCTTTTGCTCTTACCAACCTCTTTTTCAAGACCAGGCTCGGCAAAGATCAGCGAGAATCCGCAGAAGTCATCCGACCTGCCGCACCACGGACTGCAGCCAGACAGAGACAGGGGTTACCAGGAGCACACAGGGCCAAGGACAGGACACAAAATAATCCCTGCACCGGAGGCCCCACAGGGATCTTAACACACTGATGTTTCTGCAACACACTGATGTTTCTGCAAGGTCTTGATGTTTCATAGCAGAACATAGCAGTAAAAACAATGTTTTTACTCATCTAACAGGCCTACCCACAACACTCTCAGACAGCAGCATCTGCCAGCTACATGAAAAATGCAGCTCCAAACCTTCCTGAAGGCTGACAAGTAGGAAAGTGTAACAGCAGATGTTAGAGAAGGCTCACAGCCTCCAAAAACTTCCCCTAAATAATACCAGATTCCTATTAGGAATACCTGAGGTATAGCCTTCCTAGCATTTAGATGAAAGAAGGAGTTTTTCTTCAATTCAGTGTTTTAAGAATTTGTTAGGAATTTAAGTATTGTATTTATTTTAAATTAAAACAAAACCAAAAAAAAAAAAAAAAAAACCCAAACCACCACCACTGCCTGTGTTTGTCTGCTTTCAAATGCAAATGCACTGTCAAAGGAATTACCCACCCTTGACAGACCATTTGCCTTCAGTGGACCAGGCACTAAAGCAACTTTATTACCCACAAAACTGTTTTGATTTTATATGTAGTTTTTTGTTCAGGACAGCACCCCATCTCAAGACATTTCTTGTTTTAATAAAGAAAACATTGAACAGCAAGACTGATCACTGGCTTCCTGCTAAAAAATGCAGTAGCACTCTCATATTCAAATTAAAAAATAAAACAGAAACTAAATAAAAACAAAGGGCAAGACAAAAATCCTGATAACTTTATACACATATTTTATATCTAGGCTTAAATTGAGAACGCAGGTTAATCTCAAAGAAAAGATGAAGAATAAATTAAAATACTGCATACGTAGTTGAACTGAGGCCTTCAATGGTTGACATCATTTCATCATAAATATCTTCCTCCATCCTTCCCTTCTGAGATGAATTTCTGAGGATGAAAAGAAGTCTGCGTGACAAATGCTATTCAGAAACATGTAATGTGTACAGAGTACACTTTCTCAGCACACAGTGGGGCAAGCCTCCAGGCAAAAGTCAAACTAGAATGAGCCAAGCTGATTAAAAAACACACCCATGAGCACTTTACTAAGCATTTCTCTAGTTACCCAAATCAAGCATTTTTCAAGACAGCATTTTGACAAACTGAAGGAATGTTCCACAAGGGAAAATCAGCCCCTCATTTAACTCAGTGCTACAGGTGCCACTGACAATTCTTATCACATTGTAATGGCAAACATTAATAACACTAACCAAACCCAAAACTTTCCACTTTAGGGTTCTTCCTTCCCAATTCCCTCCCACCCTGCTGCAGCCCAGCAAGCAAAATGCAATCTGAATGACTGGGGGGACAGAGTAAGACAAGAAGCTCCTTTTAGAGTCTGCTAACAATAACAAACAGGAGCTGAGAAGTCTTCCAAAGGCCAAAGATTTAGCTTAACCTTTCTAAGGCAGGACTATCATACACACAGTGATTAATCAACCAAACGATCACATCCTTACAGCACACTGAACTGCAAGAGGAGCACAAAAAAACCCAGAAATGTACTTGACAAACCTATCAGAAGTTCTCTGGCGCCCAGTAGAACACAAAGGTATTTCCTAAAGAAAATAGGAATTCAGAATAAATTACACACTCTTTGAATAGCAAACAACTATGGGATACAAGCATCAAGAAACTGCCCAAACCATTTTTATTCAGAAATAAAAGAAATCAAGCACGATTCTCAAACAGATGTTTCTAAAAATCAATCTTTTCCAGCAACTTTGCTTCTTTAACAAGTGAGAAGTGAGTGTTTTCTGACAAAAAAGGTTGTTCGAAAATAATTAAACAGATCTTCCCTCTCATTTTTCTCTACAAAACAAAGTAACTAAGTAAGCTCCAGCACAGGTGAGCAGACTGGAAACTACTTCCACACATCTGAATGAATGGTGGATGGATGCTTAAATTACAATTTACTACATCTGTGGCTCCAGGACAACATGTGAAAGCATGCACATCTACTTCCAGCTTTCAGGAACAGGAGATGGAAGGAAAAATTAGTTTTCTTATATTTTAAAATTTTAAAAACCTTAAGAATTCTTGATCTTAAAAATTCTTTACTGATAAAATCCAGTTGCTGAGAGAGCATGTAGAGGGACTACTTATTTTCTATACATTTCAATTAAGTATTGAATGTATCTATCTGGGTTTTTTTACAAAACCACATGCACTAGGCAGGATTTCAAGATGGAAAAATAATAGGAAAAATATAGTTTTGCTGTGAGGATATACCATGATTATAGCACGCTAGAGAGACTGGCAGTCTGAGAGTGGTGAAGGTCTGACAGAAGGAGGTGTTGCACCGACACCCCCTCAGCTGTGCGGGCACTGAGCACCAAGGGTAAGAGCAGAGGCGCAGCCACTGAGGTCAGGTGAAGAGTTTCAGGGTGCAGGCTCCAGAGCAGCTTGCAGCTGCTGGCTGCCCGTGGCCCTCGCCGCCTGCCCGTGGTTCAATTAAGTATTGAATGTATCTATCTGGGTTTTTTTACAAAACCACATGCACTAGGCAGGATTTCAAGATGGAAAAATAATAGGAAAAATATAGTTTTGCTGTGAGGATATACCATGATTATAGCACGCTAGAGAGACTGGCAGTCTGAGAGTGGTGAAGGTCTGACAGAAGGAGGTGTTGCACCGACACCCCCTCAGCTGTGCGGGCACTGAGCACCAAGGGTAAGAGCAGAGGCGCAGCCACTGAGGTCAGGTGAAGAGTTTCAGGGTGCAGGCTCCAGAGCAGCTTGCAGCTGCTGCCTGCCCGTGGCCCTCGCTGCCTGCCCCTGGCCCTCGCTGCCTGCCCCTGGCCCTCGCCGCCTGCCCCTGGCCCTTTGCCCGCCCGTGGCCCTCGCCGCCTGCCCGTGGCCCTCGCCGCCTGCCCCTGGCCCTCTGCCCGCTGACCTTCCTGCGGCGGCCCTGCGAGCCCGAGGAGTCGCTGCTGACGCTCTCGCGGTGGCTCAGGTGCGCGAAGGGCCGCGCCGCTCCCCAGGACTCCAGGTACCGCGTCATCCGCACGGACGCGCGCATCTTCAGCCCGTCGTTCACTCGGGTTTTGGGGAGGTGGTTGTTTGATAGGCATTGCTTGGACTAACAGAAAGAAAACGCGCTCATGTACAAAACAAATTCAGACAAATTGCAAAATACCGAAGCTCTGTGTGTTGAGTAGTTTAAGACTACAAAAATCTTGCAGTTTTGTAGGGCTCTGAACACATCTGCAACATGTCAGCCAACCTCAATTCGTTTATCTCATTTAATTAAGGTGAGCTAAAGAAAATCACAGCACACACAATTAATTGCTTCATCTGCCTTTACCAGACTTGGCTTGCAACACTGCAACAGTCAAACGTCCAGGTTTATGTACAGTGACGCAAGGGCTCACAGGATCTATGAACAGATAGAGTTCCCTTGCAGTCAGCACTACAGCAGGGGAAAAGGTGCCAAACTCCTGAGCTGGGGTGTATCAAAACAGTGGTTAGAAGATCCCACAAATTACAGACTCCACATTAGATTATATCTCTGTGTCACAGGTGCTGAGCCAGGCAGTACAGACACCGTGTGTACAGCAATACCCTTGCAGAACTACAGGGAAGCTAAAACTACAGAATAAACCAAGACATCAAGGACTGATAACTCTAACATTTCACAAGTATCTTCAAGGGAGCAGAGACCATTTTAATAGACATAGGTCCTCATTCTGAAAATATGTGCTGGGTGGGAGTTCTTGCTAATTAAAAGTGGCTCTATGCTGTTCCTTCCTGTAGAGATCAGGAAGGAAAGAAGTTTCTCATCTGCATTCTTTTTTCATTTGAAACATGTTACTCATCAACCACAAGCCAATTCAAAATAGCAATACTCCAGGTGTTTGTAGTTACCAAGCTCTAAAGAAGCAACCCACAGTTGCTAAATTCACACCCCGAATAGAAGGTGAATCTTTATTTTCAGATAGTGAGGAAGATGTCTGACGTTATTTTACAAGGAATATTTTAGGTGGAAGTGACCACATAGTACAGGTATTCTTTCATTCCTTCATCCTCATCTTTTGACCTCAGTTTTTGAGACAATTCATAAAAATACCTAGTCAAATATGTGGTTTTACTCTAAGTGGGTCACATAAGAAGTTTCAGCATAACACCTATTACTTTCAGTGTAATAGGCATGTCATAAAAAAGCAGGATGTGCTTTCAGATCTGAACTCCCAAATCCAAGCTACTCAGGGGACTCACACCATGCTCTAATTCTGTTCCTGAATGAAAAAGCTCTATGCACCACAGAAACCTATGTACTTGTGTGTATACACTTGAATAAATATACATGTTTAAAAACAAATACATACCCTTGGATCGACCACTAAGTAGGTTTTGATATTCATGGATTCAAGGTAAGGATCCCTCAGGTGTCCATTCCCTTCTTCCACTTCATAAGCTTTGCCTAGGTGATTTAATGTTGCTTCAGTGATGTGCACACGGCTGAGAACAGGAGAAAGAACAAGAGACCCAAACACTCACAGAAAGGTCACATTAAGCATTTCATTTACATTTCAATGGCCACTGCTGACATTTCTGCTTTTCAAACACCCCCTGCTTTGGCAGCCAACTGAAAAATCCTGCCAGTGCTTAAAATTATATTTGCAATCTCTTACTATAGTACATCATTCATAGCAAGTGTCCTAAAAAACACTTCCCGTAATGAGATAGTGTTGGTATAAAATTGAATTGGAATGAGCAGGAAAGTAAATGAAACAATAAGAAATGTGATCAAAGGAAATCTGATGACTCACAAGACAGGCAGGCTCACAGGCAGGTTGGGAGAGCTGCAGGGAAAACTCATGAACAAAACCCAAGCAAGGACTGCTTTGTGCTAGAAATGCGTGAGGGTGGGGGGAGACACAAAATCTGGGAAAAGAAAGTTGGGGAAGGTTTTTTGTTAACTCTGAGGAGAATTCTGAAAATCTGCCTTTTCTGACTGAAACAATCCAAGGAAAAGGCAACACAGCAACAACAGCAATGCACTTCTGAGGAGAGCAGCCAGTATTTTTCTGTACCTATTCACACTTCCCCTTAAATGTCATTTCACTCAGTATCTTAAATCATGTATTTCCACATAAGTTATGAGTAATATCTTTCCATATAATTTCTCAACAATTTATTGAGAATTGGAGGGAGTTCATAAAATAGCATTTCTTAAGTTCTACTTTTTCATTGTTCATCTTCCCATGCTTTTCTCACTTTTCTTTGGCACAGAGGGGTTAGACACTGTCCTACAATCCATTAGCTCATGGCTGGGAAAAGCACAATTCCAGAATGGAAACTGGCAGTGTGCAGCACTGCTGCCTAACTATAGAGAGCAAGGGAATCACAGCTCCATCCAGCCCTCCTTCCTAAAGCTGGACATAGGTTTGCATGAAGGTAATGTGTCCAAGACCTGAAAACTACTGGCTGTAGCTTCTAAGAAGGAAGAATAAAAAAACTTCCTTAGTACTTTTCAGGCCAACAGTAACAGCTGAATTGCAGAGGGTGCCTGCTTTTATCTGTATACTGGTAATTTTCTCAAAAAAATTTAATTGTTACCTTGACTATACACTTTCGCAATTAAGGTGAACCTTCAAATCTGAAATTTTAAACTTTGCTCTAGACAATAATTTTCTTCCACAGAGACTGGGGCAGTTCACTACCCACCATTTTGCCTTTTTCCGAGCTTCCTCTCCCTCAAATCACACACTTTGTAGGACATTCCTGATCTTACTGCAAACTTCTCTTCCAGTTAGATGCCAGTGATCTCTCAGCAGTTACTAATTGCTCCCTGGATTCCAGGATAAGCACACAACCAAGAGCTGCTCTCCCAGGCAAGCTGGAGCACGCACTGCTGCTCTTGCCATGCCAGGACAGAACACCCAGCACACTGCCCAGTTTCCTATGCAGACAGCAGAATAACACGTGCTGAGCTTTCAGGCATTTACAATCAGACAGAACTGCTCATAAATGCGTTTTTAGTTTTATGCTACTCCTTTCTGCTTTAGCAACATATTATGCCGTTACGAATGTAAGTAATTTTTAAAAACACAAGGAAGATGAACAAGGTTACTCTGACACTGGACAGAAAATACTTCGAAAGCTAGAAGTTTTCCTGCATCCCTTCAAAAGTCTTTAGAATTCCTTCATTTACAGAAACTCAAAATAGATATGCTTCCTATTATAAACAAAACCTCTGGCTGGCTTCTAATGACAGAACTGCTTCCAAAGAAGAAGGAATAGCTAACATTGGAGTGAGGAATCCCCAACAAATAATTCCTTGCAGAGCAGGAGAAAAAATACAACGTAACGTTTGCATAGTTAATAACACCCCTTCCACCCTGTCAGGCTCAGTCTTCCACAAGCGGAAGATGTTTCCTCTGGCCACTTTTGAAACACAAGATGAGTGAGCACTACACAGCTATACCTAGAGGAAGTAATAAGAAAAATGTTTCCAGATCAGCATGACAGACTAAACCAGCTTAATTCTTCACCAGCTTATCAACTATAAACCTGACAGCCATACAGGAATAATCACAGTTTTCAAGATTAGGCAAAGGTCCTAAACGTGACTAACAAAGTGTGGTTTTGTCATGCTGTTTGTTTTACCAACAAAAGAAACTTTACAACTCTGTATTCTTGTTTAATCATGCTGAATCAACACACTAAACCCTTCAGCCTGGCTGGTTAACCAAGCTCTGAGAAGTTTTCTTTCTGTTTCAGGCACCAATGCAAAAAAGTATTTTGATATTCATAACCCCCTATCACGATAAATCACTTTAATTTTTAAGTTACAAGCATATACCTAAAAGCTGTCTGAGGTACAGAAATAATAAGAAAAGCTATAGCTTTTCATGCCCCGCATGTCACTGGTTTGAAACACTTACTGCACACTTACTGAAAGAAACCAATTGGTACAGACTACCATGACACAAAAAAAAAAAAAAAAGTCTGATTTGGAAATGAAAAAATAAAGTCTTATAACATCCTTTTTAGTGCGAACTACCAAAATAGGAAAGAAAAAAAAAAGAGTTTTTTAGATGAATTCTAATCCTTAAATTTAACTTAGAACACAGGAAAAGAGTATACTTTCCTAAACAAGGAAAATGCAAATGTTGGTGTTTTTGCAAAACATTTATATTTGTTCTGTTCAATGAGTGTCTTCAAAAGGCTGCAAGAGACCAAACTCAGCCTTAATGCTTGTATCACTGAGCAGCACATGGCGAGTTATATTCCTGCTCAGCCTCAATCCTCCCATTCAGCACCACTCCCTTCCCTTCCTTTTGCCCATGGCAAATGCACAACAAACAACAGCTCCAGACTCTCCTTGCTGGAATACTCCCCATCAGGATGCATTTTAATTTCTGAGCTGCTTGTGGGGTTTGAGTGCTGGGGGTGGTGAATATAGAGCTGATATAAATCAAGTGGAGCTGATCAATGCATTAGCAGAAACACTGAGTAAAGACAGCTTGGCCTTGTTGACTTAAGGAGCACAACTGTTCTCTAACTAAACTCACAAACGTAGAATTATCCCTGTGTACAGCATGGATTAACTAAGTCAACATAACGCACATGTTTCTCCCATGAAGGGAAGGTCAAGAAGCCGTCTCTTGCCTAAGAATAGAATTTTATAGCTCATCGAAAACGCAATCAGAAAATACGAGCATTTTACAGCTCTGCTAAGTACACAGTTGTGGAAATCTGTCCTATTTCCACCACCCCAGGTGAGGATGTGTGTCAGAGCACAGCGACAGACCCCGGGCCATGCCAGCCTGGCTCGGCCCCGCACGGACGGCGCTGGCTCACCCCGGCACTCCGGCGGACTCCATGCGGTTGGCCAGGGACACGTCGTGTGACCACACGTCGTACTGCCACTTCCTGAGGCCGATCACCCCGCACAGCACGTTCCCGGAGTGGATCCCAACCCTCATGTTGATGTCCACGCCCGTGGCTTCTCTCACCTGCCTGGGGAGCATCAGAGATTAGAGCAGACTTGTCATTTCATCTCCTCCTCCTGTCTCATCATACACTTGGTGCAAAACTTATGATCAGAACTAAGCAAGTACAGCTAATAAATACACTTTGAATGTTGACAAGAAAACTAATTACTTAATTCAATATCTCAGATCTTAGTATCTAGATACACAGTATCTATATTTTAAACAGCCTTCTGTGTAACACTTACTTTATTGCTTCACACATGTCGAGCCCCATTTTAACACAGTTCCTGGCATGAACTGGTAAGGACACAGGCAGGCCGGACACACAGTAGTAACAGTCTCCCAGGATTTTTATTCTCATGCATTCATTCTCCTGCAAAATTACACCAAACATTTTTAACAGGAAAAAATTAACTGCAAGTAGGCTAGCAGCTCCAAAGGTTCTGGTTTGAGAAAGTCAGGCTTTGTTCAATCCTTGTCGAAACAAAGCTTACTTCTTTTGCCCTACATCTGAATGTATGGATGTTGCTCACTGGAGAGAACAAAAATGACCACTTTGAGCATTTCTGAAAAAACACTATCTTGTTAGTTTATCTCCTTTTTCTTGGAACTGTGTGAAATTGAAAAAACTATAAATAAAATAAAACCATCACAGAATTTACCATCTAAAAGATGAAATCTACTTATCTATCTTTTAATCTTCATCTGAATTATGGGCAGTTTTCCTCTATTTTTATACGGCAGCCTCATAAGTAACAGTGTGAGGTGTCAGAAAACTTCCCAGTACGAGAGAAAACTTAGAAATTCAGATGCCCAACCTGGTAGTTGTGCAGATGCAAAATGGGTTTGTTTTCGTTAATGCAAACATGACTGAAGAGGAAGCTGGCACACACTACAGTTTGCTATTGCTAATAAAAAACCCACAATACTAAATGGTAGCAAAAAAAATGTTTCCTAACTGTGCAACAGAGGATACTGCTGCCAATGACTGGCAGGAGAGAGCAAAAAATCCCTGATACTGTCTTTTGTGAACACTTTACTGAAGAATTTTAACTGCAAAGGTTGCAAGCAAGCCCAGGCTAATTCTGCAAGGCTGTGTAATGTTTGACTGATGAGCAGAGATAGCTTAATTTGGGCCAGCCAATAGCTCCAGCTGTTCAACACTACCTGCTGTGGGAACACAGTTCCTAAATCAACTCCAAAATCAGCCCAAATATGTGGCAATTTCCCAAACTGAGCTGTTCTCCCTCATCAGATAAAGCCTTTAGTGAACATCCATCTTTCTCCACATCTTAATCCATCCCAGTGTGTTCTGAGCAGTGCCACAAGTGACAAGCTCAGAGGGATCAGCAGGAAAAACCAGCCCTGGATTAGAGCTGCTGCACTTCAGCATCCAGCTCAGTGTCCAGCTTAGCCATCAGTTTTTATTAGGTAAACTGGAGCTTGCAATATTTGTACATTATGGAAAAGATGACAGAATACTCCCTGGCAGAGCAAAAATAGCACAAAAAGCAGGAACCTCTTCTCACAGCTCAACCACAGAGTTGCAAAAGACCTTGACTCACTAATCCAGACATTTCAGTGCAATTTACATAAGTGAGAAATTAAAACGCATCACTCAAGATCTAGATTTTCCTATTTTTGTATCTGCAAAACAGTTACAAAACCTTACCAAATGTGTTTAGCATCAGCTTCTACTTCACCATTAAAATAAATTTTGCCATTTGGCAATTAAGATGACATAACTTACTCTGTCTTTATAGCTGCTTCACAACAATACAATTGCAATAGATATAGTATAACTTATTTGTCAGTTCCTAAACACTTAACAACTGAATTCAGATAAATGCAAAAATTAGTCATGCCATGAAACTACGATATTTCAATGCCATGTAGTCAAAAATATTTTTAGCATCTTAGTCAGGTTTTAATCAGTGGTATATTTAAGAATTTATTCAATGATATCCACAAGGGTTTAATTACAGCAATTTCACTCCTCTGCTACATTATGATTTTAGAGTTTCCAACTTTTTCTGACAAATTTTTAGGATTTCACAAACACAACACACAAACATGTAGGTGATACAGCCCCTGTAATGTGAGAAATAAAAATCCGAGTTCGTGATTACTGCTGCAAAAAATGAACCTCAAGCAGCACCTGGAAGTGGTGACAATTCCTGCCAGGCTGAGGGGTCAGTATTGAGGGTATGCCTTAATAGGGACCATTTTAAACAGTTACTCCCCAGTTTTACACTTTTGTGTAAGTAGCCATTAGTAACAGGAAGCTTTCTTTAGTTCACTCCTCAGCTAAAGAACTCTTTGCCTGATGCCTCTGAATTTAAATGTGTCTGAGAGTTCTCCATTTGTGGAGTCAAACCTTCGAGCTGAACACAGCAAAGCTCCTCGGTGGAGTTTGTACACAAAACCTCCCACAGCCCTGCTGCAATCACTTACCACCATCAGACAATTTCCTAAATGATACAGATAAACCTTCACACCCAAGAACTGGAATTACAGTAGCAACCTGCAATATTTCCCATTTTTGATTTACATTTTGTTTTAATGTTATTTTGCCAGTTAGCTTTAAAGCAAAAGCAGTCTTGCCTTCCTGACTTGAGGGCTAACACCCCGCTATCCTGTTGTGCAAAAAACTTTTTCCAAAGGCCTTTATCCTACAGCACAAACTGTAAACCCACCTTTGCAATCTGATCAAACTTTCCAAAGAGTTCATTCAGCATCACTACAAGTTCCTTAGGAGAGCAGTCACTGGCAAGGCGAGTGAATCCTACGATGTCTGCATAAAGAATGCTAGACAAGAGCGAAAGGAAAAAGCAAAGAAAGTGAAATATGAAGATACATCAATTCCACAGTCAGCATAACTATTGAAATGCTTTTAACAGAAAACACCTCTCTCCTCTTTGGGAAAGAACTCCAACAAAAAAGGTTCAAGTATCTCCCCTGATTTAAAAGAGAGCACACCAGTGCAACACACGTTATCTTCCCATAGCAGGAAAGAAGCTCACTTCAGCCTCAAAGTTTGCCTTCAAATTTTAATTTCACCAGACCATATGTATTGATAAGAATCGGAAGTGTATAACAATACAATTATTTCTAGGGCTTCCACTTACCTAACATTTTGATGCCTTTTTACATATAGGCTGTGGAAGTTATTGTCATGCATCTGCCTGTTATCATTAGTTTCCTTCAGTCGCTCAATGATTGCCAGCTTCATTTCCATAGAGATATGAGCAGGCAGGATGGATAAAAGCAAATTTTCCTAAAAAGTGGGGGGAGGAATAATTGTGCAAAATTATTAACACAGTAAGTCTGAAACAGCAGAATTCTACTGACTGTAAGAAGGCATAAAAAAAAAACCAAAACAAAAATTCCTTTATTCAAACAGTTTTTGAGTCATGCACGTCAGGTTTTCCAGAAAACAATTTTACATTGCTGTTCTCCAAATTATTGATTTCACAGTAATGTTGCATATTTTTTCTTTTGTTCCTTGTGGCCTAGGTGTGACATTCCATTGTAACCGTGAAACAAACATACACAAAAAATGTCAGTATTCAGTACTACATTTTCTGGATAAATTGCATTTTATTTTGTCCCCTGATGTCAGTGTTATGTTGGCACTGTCTGATAGAGCTTCTGTAAAAGCTTATGTTTTGTACCTAACAATCTGTTCAGTATTAAAAATATTTGCAAATTCTCAAATACTGGAAAAGCAGCAACAGATACAAAAGTGTCAGCTGCGTGCTGCTACAGCTAACCTGAAGCAATGCCACTGAAATGAAGCCTGTTCAGCTGAACGAGAAAGACAAACAGGCTTCTCCAAACCCACTCCCATTGTTTGACTATTCAGGGCACCGTTTTACACTGCTCTCACTCAAAAGCCCATTCTTCAAAGAAGACCCTGGTAAGTTGCTGGGCAGAAGAGGATGACAAAAAATATTTTGAGTGAGGAAGGGCTCTCCCACTGCAGAGATGGAAGAGGAAATGTTGTGTGGAGCAGCTACAAGCAGGAACTTTTTCAGACAACATCAACAGCAAGATTAACACGTTGTGCAGCCAAGTCAAACACTAAATGCTGTCCCCTGGGACCAAGTCCTTGTCCCCTTTCCCTGGCTACCCAACGCAGCCATGTGCAGGAAGTGGCGAGCTGCCAGGGAAGAGATACCATGGGATCACAGTGGGAAGAGACAGTCCTTGAGCACCAAGTACTCCTCTGTGCAAGGTGTGGGCTGCAGTTTAACTTGAGACTGATCCCAGAACTAGAAACACCTCCCATGCCTCACCTACTGTTTTGGTACTAGGAGAGTCATCCCTGGGAAAGAACTTAAACTGAAGCCGAATCCCAGGGAATGTAACAGGGCCTTTGGGAGGCTGACACATCATGCAGGTTTCAAGGAAGCAGCGAGGAACCCTGAAATGCAGCTCTCACATCTTTTTCACAGAGAAGTGGGAGGCAGAAAGGATACTCAGAATTACCTGACAAATTGCAACATGGATGAAAAGAAAACCCTCCATAGACTTAAGCACATTTACACTTCAAACAAGCAACCATTAAAAAAAAAAACAATCCCCAAACCAAAATCCTGAACATCCATGGAAGTGAGCACACTGCCCAGGAAATGGGAGCACACTGCCTGCGTAAGGAGATCAGAGGCTTCCCTGGCAGCTGCGTGGGGAAATTCTGGCAGGGCTCTCATGCAGATTTGTCATCTCATCTCACAAGATTAGCATCAGAGAACAGACTGCACTAGCAGTGTGGCATTTTCTTCTTCCCAGTTTGATCAGGTCAGTCACTTTTCAGCCCCTTCTTTTTTATCTAATAACTAGTGGGCAGAGAACACAATACACATCAGCCTTGTAGAGCACTTCTTAACCCTATTTATACCTGGAAAGGTGCCCCAGTTTCAGCTCTGGCATCTCTCTACAAACCTTCCTCAGTAAGAAATCCATGCTTGTTTGTTATTTGAATACCACTGGAGTTTATGAAAATAAATATTTTAATCTATTACATTTTTTTTTCCCTTCACATCCAATTTTCTCCTTCTAGCAAAGGAAAAACAGTTGGTGAGACAATAAAATACAAGAACAAATAATACCTTAGAATTCAATGTAAAAAAATGTGACCAAGAGAACTATAAAACTGACTGCTAAAATTACCTTACAAGAAATTTCAGGGCATTAAGGGTATGTTCTCTTAAGTTATCTTAGGTCAGTCTCAGGAACAGTTTATTCTAGGAAAAAAGGAACTAAAAATTACTGGCAATTACATTCCTGTTACAAATACTATGATTTTCATGTAGACAAGCCCCAGAAAGCAGCTTCCTCCCTTTAACTTCCTCCTTTTGTTACAAATGGCACAACTTTTATTTTTGACACTAGGAGGGTATCTCAAAGACTGGACCAAGCTTTTCAACATGGATTAGTCACCAACCTTATGAATTCATGCAGACTTTGGCAATGAAAACAAGCAATTTGTAACAAGAAGTAGCTCACTCACTTGCTGCCTCTTCTCAATCTTCAGTTTCATTCGGACCTGAATGCACTTTAAGGTGTATCTGTACAAATCCCACGAAGCAACCTGCATTTGGCGTTTGTGAAATGCACCCATGAAGTTGCCACAAAGGAAAATTACAGCATTGGCAAGGAGCTGCACAAGAAGAAAAATATTTACCTACTGCAGGGCAATCATTGATACTTCACTAACACACATATTAGTCCCATAAAACGCAGTAAATCCCAGACCATGTCTCATTTCCTCTTACCCCATCCCATAACAAATCATTGTTGCTATTACCCAGGATGGACCTGGCAGACACCATCTGACTTTCACAGTCACAATAATGAAACAGAAAACGCTATGCTATCATTCAACATTTATTTGCAGGCACCAGTGTTTGGTTTGTGGCAAACCAGTGCACAAACTCCTGCACCAGCAGCTGTGTGGAGCCTGGCACACGCCTGCGCGGACTGAGCCGGGGTGCTGCTGTGAACACACCCTGTTAATGAGGGCTGGGAGCCCTGGACTCCCAGCTGCACTCCCAGCCCCTCTGACAGCCCAGGGCAGCCTGGGCCCTTTTGATCCACCCTGTGGGCAGTGCCTGATGAAGGCAGGTAGACCCACCTGAAGGACACAGGTTGGGAAGAGTGACTGTGACTAAGCTAGGCATATTTTTAACAGCTTAGTTTAAAAATTAATTTAAAGAACCCTGCTTTTTCCACTTAGGTCAGAAAAACAAAATTGCCCTACAGATCTAAAAATTTGCAATTTTAAAAAGAGACCAAGGGGTTTTGGGCCAAAGCTCCTAATCCACAAACTTGAAACATCAATGAAACTTTTCTTAATGGAATAGTTATGCCAAAAGCAAAGGGTATCTTGACTAGAGTATTTCATTATGTAACCAAGTTATTTCCTTACCTGGAATGGAATGGGTTCCTTATTTCCTTGAGAAGTCACACTTACCACAGTTAAAACAACAATATGGGAGAGAGCAGAAACAACACTAATTATGACAGCACCTCTCATCCCAAAGGGTAGCATGGTATAAACTGTGAAGATTATGAACAGAAAGAATGGCACCTTTGGAAAGAAAAATAAAAAATAATCAAACATACGTGTTATTAGGTAAATGCAAAAATCACTACAGAAACAGGAGCAAAGCAGTAGGATTCTTACTCAATTTCAGGCTGAACAATTAGATACTGATGTTTCAAAATTAACAGTTAAAACCATAAGAACAGTGGTAGTTCTAAGAGTTTTGAGGGAATAACAGCTACAGGTTCATAGACAAGATGGGCTAATGTGACATATCACCTATAATTTTTTCACTTGTCCTTGCCCTTTATCCTGAATTTATCCTTTTCAGCTAGAGATGCACTTTGGGTGCACTTTGTACCCACACATCAGGAACAGTGTGTTGCAAGGCCAGCAATACTGAACAGAATCAGATTTCTCACCTGTTGGAAGATATTTTTCTAATTTTAACATCACCCAGTCACATGTGTATGTTTGCTTCGTACTTGATAAAAACCAAAAATCCAACCAATACTTCCTGGTCCTCCCACAGGAGAATAACCTTTATTACCACTAACCACACATTTAGCTGCACACATATTATAAAATGCAGAACTGAACTGCTACAGATCAGTGGGAAGGTTTGTAAAACTTAAATTCATATTTATAGACTTGTTACAATTGTCAGCTTATATATAGATGGAAATTGTCAGCTTATATGTATATATATAGGGAAACTAACAGCCCTGATCAGAGGAATATATTGCAGCATTCCTGGCTCAGCTCCATCTCATCACAGCAACTAAATTGTGCCATTCCAGACAAGAGTTTCCTTCGAGGAAGTCTCAAGGTCCAGTCTGCCCTTCAATATATTCCCAGAATAGACAGTTTGACTGAGACAGCAATAATCAGACAAACAGGTAAATAAAAGTTTTCATTCAATGAAAATATTTTTCCATGTATATCTCACTGCTTTAGGTGAAGTAAAAACATTTTTTCTGCCTTATTTTCAGCCCCCATCTCACAATGTTCTGAATGTTGTGTGACAGTTTTATAAGCACAAAGGATGGACAAGCAAAGGCCATACCTGCATTTAAACAGTAGCTTTAATTAGTGATAAATTCATAAATTAAGGTGAAAGTATGAAATAAATCTATTCACTTTCAGAGCAGCACATCCTTATATTTTAGACTTAAAATCGATATGAATGAATTATTACCACATGATGACACCACATTGCCTTGCAGCACTGAAAGCAGCAAAACCAAATCTTACGTTGTTACATATTTGCATTTATGGTTAAGAACAACAATACATCTGGGGGGTGTTTCTAAGGGAATAGGCACTTCCTCAGGCTAAAAAATACTGAGCAGCAACTCTAAATGTACAGTGCTGGATCCAGGCCATAATGCAAATGAGATTTTGGTTGTTTAACTGATAATTTATATCTTTCTTTATTCAAATAAAGGGAAGGGGCAGAGTTCCTAAAACAAGATAAAAAGTATTTTTTATTTAATTAAAACTCTTCTGCTTGCATTATGAGATCTTAGGAGGAGTTTCCTACAAATTATGATATTTTTGGCTCCATGAAATCACCCATCTTCTGATCAGAGATAGCAAGAAACGAAGTGTAGCCACACCCAGCAATGCCAGGATGTGTCATTAATCCTTATTGTTCACTTCACCTCTCCCACTGACTTAAAAACCTGCTCCCTAGGGCACACCCAGCTCTGGCGTCCTTTATACATTTCTTGAACACCTTTTTGACCCAAATAAATTAACAAAGCAAGTATTATTAAGAACAAAAGAAAAGAGAGATTAATTCATAGTAATTAAGATTTGGTAAAAATCCTATGTAAAAATCCAATTCAATTACAACTTAAAGATGCAATTCCCACATAGGTTTACACAATTATCCAATTTTTTCACTGAAATGTATTTTCACTATAATCCAGAATACCAACTAAAACTTACTGCAACAAATCAGTGAAGCCAGTTTTCAAAAGTTAACCTAAATCTCAGAAGAGTCATTAAGCAGCTACAACATTCTGAAAGACTGAAGCACACAAAGACATCCACAGCTGACCACCAGCCCTAGGCGGGTACCTGCATGAACAGAGCATACACACCTGTTCCCACAGCTGATAATCACCTCCTGCTTCAAAAAGGGAAACGTAGCCCACAGTGAGGAAGCAGAGCCAAGCCACGGCCCCAAAGAGCGCCAGCCACCTGCGGAACAGGGACTCCATGCACAGCAGCAGGTACATGACAGCAAACGCGGCCAGCGCCGCGCACACCGCCACCACGAAGGCAAGGTGGGAACGAGCTTCCTGCAAGGGCAAAACGAAGGGAATGAGCTTCCCGCAAAGGCAAAACAGGGTTACGGGTGGTGCAAATGTCCCTTCAGGAAAGTGAAAGATGCATCTGTACAGCCCTGGGAACAGCATGGATACCTCTGAAATAAATTAAGCTGGGTTTTTAAGTAGACTAGCTGTGGCAGCATGAACACTTTCTGATATTCCCACATACAGAGCTAATATAATAAATACTATTATAGATACTCATTCTACCCCAGTTCCTCCATTATTATTTTCCAAACTAGCTTAAAAGGTAAACCCCAAACCACTAAGTTCTAACTACACTGTATCTCTAATGCAAATGTACCCAAAGAAATTGATTTAGAGCTCAAACTTTGCTAAAGAGGAGTAACAGTGCTCTAAGTTTCACAGAAGACAAATTGTTAGAAGTAATATTGCTACTTTTTTCCCCTTCCTAAGAAATAAAAGGTAAAAGGAATAGAAGTGCAATTGGTAACATTTGATTTGCTGCTAAAGAGGGACTTGAAGACCCTTTATCATGAAGCACAGTGTTTGGAAAGCACAGTTAAAAGGCAATGAAGGATTATAATAGCTACTTTGCTACCTTTATACACTATCTTTAAATCAACTCCCTTCCTTACCAGCTGCCAGCTGGGCTTGTAAAACACCAAATTTCTTTACAGAAAATCAAATTACACTACATAACAAAAATCTTTAAGCTGCATCTTTTCTATGCCTATAGGATCTCTGCTCTTTGCTAACTAAATTTTGATTCCACCAATCACCCACTGTACTGGGAGGTTCCTGTTGTGTTTTCACTAACGAAAAAAAGAAAAAGATAAAAAAAAGGAAATTAACGTCTACTAATCTCTTAAGAAAAAAATCACCTCAGGAATAACCTGATGAAAAATGAGCAAGTCACCATAATATGAGAAATGCAGGACATTTTAACCGTGCTTCTTGTTTCTTCCTTGGCCCTTTCAGTACTTACTATCATAGCTAGCATTCAATACAGATCAGGATTTGTTCATAATGTATAGAAAGGAAAAACAATTGTTATAGTAATTGTGCAGGTGCCTGACAATCTCTCCTCTCTTCCCATCCTTTCAAAAACATACACAGTCATACATGCACATTTACTTGATATCTTTCAGCACTGCAACTTTGACATCATGTTGCTCAAAATATTACATAGCCAAAAAGGTTTAGTGCGCTGTCAGAACAACTCCTTATCCTCCCTGCAAACACTGAACACACACAAAAGGAGTTTACTCACAGCAGTAACAAAGAAGATTATGATTAGAGTAGTCCAGAGGAGGATGGCAATGAAGAGCAGCAGCAGCAGGAGGGGATGCTGCTGGCTGGTGTAGCGGTACTTCTCGTAGAGCGGGTCTGATATCCGGCCGTCATCGCTCTCATTGAAGAAGTATTTCCCTTTAGCTGGCATCTTCTCCCAGGCTGGCTGCTATTTCTCTCAGTTCCCAGTGCACACAATGACACAGCTGAAACCACTGCTTCAAAGAGAAGTTCTGTCGTTTTGCTGCTGCCTCTGTGATCTTCAGGCACACAGAGTAATCCACGTTCCCTGATTTTACTTCTCATGAGCATCAACTTCAGATTTCCAATGCCATCAAAAGCAAGAATTAGCCTCCCCAAAACCACAGGCAATTCATCATCAGCACTAAGCATGAAGCTCCAGATCAACTTGCGTTGGTGCGGACAGGTGTTTTTGGCATGAGGTTTTTTTAATTATTACTTTGCAAGTCTCAAACTCCTTTCCATAAGCTAGAATCTCACTTCCTGGGATGAATCCTGCAGAGAGACAGGATTAGTAAATTCATAGTTAATCATACACAGTGTTCCCCAGGGGGGAGAGAATAAAAACAGTTGATTCCTTAAACTTTCCTTGAACTTTCTACCTGCATGCTGTGAGCAGTGAGCAAGAGCTGCGTGCTGCTGGTGGGTGGGAGCCCAGGAGCTCCGTGCGTGGGCAGCGGTGCCCGGCAGCGCTCACCAAGGGCTGCTCTGCTCTCCTGGCTCTGGCAGCTCAAACATTTCCATATACAGTGTACTACAAGGGGCTTTTCCTTCTGAGAAAATGACACAGTTCCTGGGAGTGTGTTGTGTAACTGAATGCTCACAACTCTTTGGAAGTTCCGTGCATCTGTGTGTGTGTGTATATATAATCTTCAATCACAGTACACATGGCATTCTTTCTCAAAACATGCATCTTAAAAATTAAGAAATCCTCTTTTATTAATTTCACACTTTAATTAAGGCATAGAAAAATGAGAAGAGAATGCAGCTGTCCAAGCCAAAATGCATTAAACTTTTTTTTTTGTTAAAGATACTTAGCATGTAGTTCTGTACATTTCATTCCACTTTAAGTAATACTGTTTCCAAGGCAATACATGTGTTCTGCTAGCAATGAACACTAAGGAATAAACTGTATTGTTTATTTCTAATGACCTGTGTTTTTCAAATAGGTTCATTAATATAGTTCATTCAGTGCCAAGAGCCACGAGAAAGAAGCACAGGGATGTGATGGAGGGAAGCATGAAAAACAGGATTTTGTAAGTCTTATTAAAACTTGATAACAGGACCACAGCTTCTTTGCCACTTGACTGCCATCACCATGGTGCCCAAGGCCACTGCTCCAGGGAGAAATAACCCACTAAACCCCACTTCTTTTTTTCCCCCAGAAAAGCCAAATTCCAGCCAGTTGCTTTCAAAGCCCAAATGCTTAACTGCACACACACATTCAGACTGCTTTCACACTAAAAGCAGGAAAAAGTTTCAGAAACCATAGTGAGCAATTCTGCCTCTGGTAAATAGAGCCAAACACTAACATCCTATCCCATTATTAATGATCAAGCAAGCAAAACCAGATATATCAACAGTGAGAATGGAACAAAAAAAAAAAAAATGTACTTTTGCAAAATGAGAAACTAAAACTTCTTTCCTGAGTACCCCACAAACTTGAATTAATCACAAAAAAACCCATACAGTATCACTCTTATTTGGTAATACTCAGAATAAACTGACTATGTATTTTGAGAGGGAACTTTATTTTTCCAATTAGCAGCATCCATTTTCAAAAAATAACTAATAATTGCAAAGCAGCAATACATTCATAATTATGTGGAACAAACTATCCTGTCTTGGGCTACTTAATATTAAAATCCAGGAAAAATTTCTTCACAGCTTGCTTTCTGTAACTTCTGACTATGTCAATGAAAAAACAGTACCAAGAACTGTCTATTCTACAGGATTATACTTTGTGGCTGTGGTTCAGTTATCTGATGCTCAAAAAATGAAAAATGGGTGCAGTGTCAGCTTGGAACTCTCTCTGAATATTATTGAAGAGTTTTACAGGACATCAGATTGAAGAGACATGTCTTTTCAATAGCCTAACCCATTTTAATTAAAAAGAGATTGATATCTCATTGATTTGTTTCTTCCTGGGTGATCTTTGTAGATATGCACTGCAAGTAATTACGAATGACCCCTGGGTCATACAATTTTCCTCTCAGAACTCTACTAGGCAAAGAAACTCCCCAACAGTACTTTATTGATTTACCAAGAATCCATAATGCACACATAAATGTTACTTCGAGGTGAACAATTAACTCTGAATTAGTTTCAATTTCCATCCCATGTCCCACTGCCACTACCACCTCCCTTCTTAACAGTCCCTATTTTCTGTGTCTTTCCTCCTTTGAATTTTTTCCCACAACCTTCTGGAAACGTAGAAGGTAGAGTTGAGAGAGAGAAAAAGATTCTATCATGGGTGGTATCACACACTGGAAAAAAGATCAACTCAACATGCTCCTGTTTATACATTTAAGGATCATGTGAGCACTGTGCACCACAGCATCACTTTTACTCTTTTTGGTCATTGTTCCTTGAAGATTTTTTGTTATGACACACCAAGAGAGGTGTAACCCTGAAAGAGCAGCAGGCCACAAAAACCAAAGAACACTCCCAGAAGCCCCAGTGGCAAACACACTGAGCCAAATGAGGACTCGATCTGGGCTGTTGCTCTAAAGCCACAGAGCTCTGATCAGCAGCTTGTCACGAAAAAGCCTCATTTCTTTTGTGTTTGGATGAAAAAAAAAGGAATTGTCACCCAGGCCAGGATATATAAGAAGCAACCCCAGCAGTGTGGGTTAGAAACTGCACTGGGAGCTTACAGGAGCAGCCACCAAACACACTAATGTGATTTAGTCACATCTGTGTGAGCTCCATAGCCATTTGCAAGCCAATAAACATGAAGAATTTTTGCCCAGTGAATATGTAAGAACACTGGACATGTGAGAGGTATAAAAAAACTGGACAACAGAATATCTTTCAGAACATGAACCAAAACACCTATTACCTTTCAAATCTACTGTGTTTCAGTGGGAACAAGGATGTGCTCAGATTCAGCACCAGAACTAGGCAAGAGCTGACGAAAGCACAGCCACCTTTCAACTGCAAGCAAAAGGATAACATTTCTATCTCCCACAAATCTAGGTATTGCTCTATGCTTTCCTCCCCTTAGACAGGAATTTTCAAGCACTGCTAAACTCTCCAGTCTCCTACTGACACATAATAGAATTTGTCACAAAAAATATAAAAGCAATTATTATTTGATTATCCTACCAGGCTTGGACTGAAGCTGTTTTTTTCTCCCAAGCTAGTTAAAATTGCTCACCAGGCTTTGTGTCAATCCACCACATTTTCTGAAGACCTGGCTGAAGACACACACATTTTCTGAAGACTCAACAGCTGCAGAATAGCTATGGCCTGTACAGAGCCTGTAGAGCCCAAGTGTTTTAAAGAAACACACACCAGCCCAAGAGTGTTGTTGCATGGGGTCATTTCAGCCCCTTCCTCCCCAGAAATTGTCTGCATGGAGCAGTGTGAGGGAAGATGGGGGAGGGAAAAAGGGGAGATGACCCAAGACACAGAGAGAGCAGAGCACAAATCACATCCCAGGGAGCTCTCTGGAGCACAAAGAGCAGTCTCCCCCCAGCATTGCATGGTGGAGCAACAGAAAGAATCAGACAGAAATCAGACTGATAACAAACAGAACAGCTCTTGGGATGGCTTCTTTCACTCTCTGCACCCTCCTGCCCACCCCCTCTCACACACACACCAGGATGGACAGACAGCCAGTGATCACATCCTATTCCCTCTCTCGGGAGAATTATTCACAGCAGCTCCTGACCAAGTAAAAGCCCTTCCAAACAGAATCCAAGAATGCTGGAGTTCTGGTTTTAGTTTCAAAGTTCCTGATATATTCACAAGCAAACACAGTCACAGTCACCCCCTGGATAATTTATAAAGTATTTTTTCTCTTTGTTGTTCGTTTGCCAAGAACTCAAGACTTGATCACCTAGAGCTGATTACCAAGAGCAGTGTCTGAAATATTAAAACAAACCCTAATAGCATGAACCAAATGAATCAATATAAATTTCCTTATTCCTCTCAATAACGTCTGTTGTAAAAGCAAGCAGAACCACTTTTTTCATCTTGAACTACTACAGCACCAGACAAAGTACAGTTTTGACTTCCATTCCATCTTTTGTTTCACACAAATAACAACAGTGTTTCTGAAATTACTTTAGCAATTTCCATTACAAGAATGATTGCTGACTGTAATTACCCATTAGCAGATACTAAAAAAGAATCAGGAATCTATAAACATGCAATAGAATAATTGAAGGAGATTAGTGGATGAATTATGAATCTCAAGCAAAAATAATCTCCAGTCTAGTGGACTTCACCACTAGTTCAGTCTAGGAAATGAACTTTAGCAATCCAAACATACACCACAGGAAATACCATTCATGTTAAAGACAACACTTCTTCCTTTTAGACTTTGCTTTCAAATGCTAGTCTGCAGCCACCTTAGCTTCTACTACCCATACAAAAGTACTGAGTGGAGAACAGGTGTGTTTTTAATGATCTGTCTGCTAGCAGTGAGTTTCTTTACAAAGGCAAACTTTTTTATACATATTTTGGAGTTTTCATGTGAAATTTCACCTTCCTCAGTTACTTTTAATTGTTGAAAAGCTTCTTCTGCAATACAGAAGAAAAACCACTTACTTATATTCACCTTCTATTTTCTCACAAAAAGTGAGCATACCCACTTCAACACATCAGCACTCAGAACTACATTTACATTAAATAGCCAAATCAATACAAAAAGTCTGTCATTTAAAAAAAATACCCCATGACATATCAGAGCAATCAGTGACACTACATCTCTTAGGATTTGCCCTTGAACTTTGAAAGCCACAGCAATGATAGTGCTAAATGTGCTGCAAAGAAAGCAGTGAAACTGAACTTATTAACTCACATTCCTATTTCAGCAGATTGCTTCTTCCATAATGTTTGTTCTCCAATGCTATTTAAAGTAGGGATAAGTAACGAGTTGTTTAATTTGGAGACAGTTTTTCAGTCTCTTGTACAAGTGGAAGATGTGAAATAACAGAGGCTGTGGTTTCATGCGCACGGACAGCCAGCTCTGGCCAGCCAAAGGAGGAGGTCTCCCCCCCCAGAGCCCCCATCCTGCACCAGGCACTGCCCCAAGCTCCTGCTGGGCTCTCTGCAGAGCCCACTCACCAAATACAGCACGGAAAGCCACATTTGGCAGGTCACTTCCCTGTCAGGGTGGGGCAGTGCAGCAGGTAGCAGAGGTACAGATGAGCTCCACAGCTGGCCCGGGGTTTGGAAAGGAAAAGCAAACCACAAGTAGGAAAGCAAGCACAGCAGTGAGCTCTTAAACTGACTCATCACTTCTCACAGGTCCACAGCCTAAGGAAAAGAATATGAAGAATACCACTGCTAAAGCTGGGGGCAGGGGGAGGCTGCTTGTTGCTCATGTTTAAATACCCCTATCATTACAGGACGTGCTTTGAAATCTCTGTGCTACCGATTGAGGTAGGACAGAAAATGGTGACAGAATATGGTTCAGAAAACCTGTTGGTAATTTAAGACAAGCTCACAAACTAAGTCAGTAAAAAAGAAAGAAAAGTCCATATAACCAGACTGCTGCAACTTAACTACACAGGAGAGTTTACTACTGTTCTAAGGTACTTTTTATTGTGAAAACACATAATGGTTCAGCCAACAAATCTATTAAGCCTTATAATTAAGTGCTGGGTCTGGCTCAGCAGGGCGGGGGAGGAAGCAGCCCTTTTATAATACTGGTTTTCATAAGCAGCAAACTCCAGGGTGTAAAAAGACACATCACACCAGAAGGGAATTGAGCTGTGCTTTGCATCTTTCAAAACCAAGGTGTGTGATTATTTCTTGACTTCCCGACCCCCTGTCACATCTTACAGATAGGCTTTTTGACTTCAGCTGATCTAAAATTGAACTTGCCACTGCAAAAGTCAATATTCCCCTTACACTCAGTTTTCAGACCTATTTAAAATTCATGTCTTTGAACAGTGTCCTCAGAAGCCAGAATAGCTTTTCACTGAGTAATTTCAGTTTAGTTATATCAAAAGCAGAGTGCTTGTGCCATTACTGAAACCTGTAATATTGAGCTATATAAACTGCAGAAAAACCCTGAAACACAGAACATTAAACTTCAACACCATGCCAAAAAGTATTTTCAGCTAAGACAGGGACAGAACCTCTGTGTGTCTAAGCCCCAATAATTTCTACAAGAATATCCCTGATTTTCACAGAAAGTAAAACTCCTGACATTTTCAGAGGATCTGTTTTTAAAGAAAAAAAAAATACATCACAGTAGCTAATACTGAGCCTTTCTGAAATCAGCAATAAAACAAAAAATTCAAAAAAGGTGTGCTTGAACAGTCTTTTTTTTTTTTAGCCATTATCTCATTTAAGCCACATAATTACAATAAATAGCGAACAAACAGATCAGGCTGACACGGTTTCTAAGCTCAATATAATTAATTATACCTAGAATGAATTCTCTGTCATATGTATTGCAAAATTTTGAATATGCCTCAGCTAATCTATTTCAGTAAAGCAGTCAAGAAGCAGAGATGTGGCAGAGTCAGACTACCAGGGTGTAACTGGACTCTTCTATCACTAGATATAACAGATGTGCAAAAAGTAAAAAATTACAAAATATTTTTAAAAATCACTGTAAACAAGAGTGTAATGGGCATCACACATTGCTTTCATTTTTTTTTTTTCCTGTCCCACAAAGTTATTTAAGGGGAATGTACAGTTCAACACAGAAATGGCTCTTGCCACATCTAGGGTAAATTGTGTATTTGCATAGAGCAGGTGCAATCACAATATGGCAGGGAGAAGGCAGGAAAAAGATAACACCTGCCCTGAGTAAGATAAGAAATCACTTCCCATTTCAGTCGGGTCTATCTAAAACCAGTACAACAGGGAAGGAGGCTCCTCTCTCTCCTACCTACAGTATTCCCACCCCACTGAATGAACAGAAATACAACCTGGCATCTGAAATTCAAACAATGCATTGATAACAACAACAACTTTGCTTTCCTTGATTTTTCTTTGTCCCAGCATCAAATTTTTACAGATCCAACTATTGTTTTTAAATGTTTTTGTAAAGTATGGTTGTTTCTAGCTGAATTTCTGCTTACTCAGCTCTTCCCTAAGCAATCTCACTTTGGAAGTAAAACTCAGCCCTAGGCTGAGAGATGGACACAGAAAGAATGTGACTGTGCCTCAGTACCTGGAGCAGTGCACTGCAGCACAGATATTTTTGTTAATGTATAAAATTCACTTTACTAAAGGGAAGACTTCATACTGTTTAAGGAAGAAGGGGGAAGCTAAGGAGACAGATTAAATCCAATCCCCCTTATTTAATGACTAGTACTTCAAGACTAAGTCCTACCAAATACCTGCTTTAAAAAAGTTATTTTTCTATGCTATTCATTACAGGAGAATTTTAACGTTCCCAGACTAACCATGCAACATTTGTTACACCACCACATCCGTACTTCACAGCCAAAAAAACTAAAAGTAACACTTGCAATAAGGAAGTTCCCTCCCTTGGAGGTTAAATACTAAAAACACCACCAAAGAGACAGACATTTCTGATGGAAGCATTGATTCCAGTCATACCCTACCTCAGGACTCAAAGCTGTCAAACACTCACAATTATTTTTTAAAAGTTTTCCAAAATGCAGTACCTGGTTTCAGAAAGGTCCTTTGTGGAGTAATTCTGAAATAAAACAATAATAAAGGACTGAAAACCTCAGGAATCTTATATTTTCAGCCTGAGTTGATAGCAACACACTAAAAATTTGTTAGGAGTTGTATACATATTTTTCATTGATCCAGACAGAGAGCCACAGGAGCCGAACATGCACAAGGACCTGGTAAGCTGCTCTGGGTCACACAGAGGGAACCTTGAGAAGCAGCGAGAGCTTTCCAGTGACAACCAACATGTCTCATGGAATTTTGTATTCACACTAAGTTTTGATTGCCTGCTAAGATACTAAAATGTCTGAACACAGATCTAATCACTATCACCCTCTTGTTTCATCTTATCTTTCATCTTGCCATTTCCAAAGGTTTATTTGACAGCCAGCCCTGCCAAACCATTCCCAATGCCAACAGGCCACTGGAAACCTGCACCATGCAAAGCACTGACTCACCAGGGGAAACGGGGCTATCTCACCTGGCACAGCTAAAACAAAGCAGATACTTTTAAATTAAATTCTCCTGAAGCAACTTTGTCCTTTGGATTTGCTGATACTAAAGCCAGCTAACAAGTATTAAAGCAGAACTAGTTAATTCCAATCTTGAAATAATACCATGGACACAGAAAATCTTCAGGATGTGGCAAAAGTCACTTCTCAAAACAGCCTGCAGTCAGTGCCTCGGAGCATGGGGTTTACAGAAGAACCTTCCAAACTGAGGCATCACTGACACAGAGTGAAGGTTGCAGTGCTCAGTGCCCAGCCAGCCCCCAGGGCTGGGTGTTCACCCACCTCAGCAGCACCGAGAAGCATTTTCCCCTGCACTGCAGTGCTGAGCTGTGTGCAGCAGATTACTCCAGGCTATTATTTACTGGGACCACTGATAAAAAACACATGCTGGTTGTTTGCTTACCATTACAGGCCACAGGATTCATTGGCAAAATCCATATTTCTCCACTCCACCATGGTCTCTTCCTTCATTTTGAAATTCCTACAGGAGAGTGAGTGCAGCCTACTCAGGTTAAATCCTTCACTCTAGATCTTTTGATGTACCACACACAGGAACCTGCAACAAGACAGGGAATCTTTACTCCAAGGACCACTGTAGGCATTAACAATGCTTTATTTCTTCCCCTCATAGTTCAAGGAAGAAAAATCTACTCCATCTCCATCATACATTTTAGGAACCTTTACTCAGACTATCAGTAGAAGAATAAGTATTTAACTGTATTGTTACATGCTGCAGCGTGGATAGAACCTGACTGAAACAATCATAGCTGGAAATGCCTGAGAAAAAGGCTCAAGACTGATGAGAGGCATTGTCATTATCTAAGTGATCCTAACATTTTTCAAGCAAGGCCTGCATGACAGCAAAGGGAACTCTGCTAAAAATAGGATAAGAATGTTTTACTAACTTTCACAGCATCATAGATAATGAAAGCCCTACTTTTCCAGTAAGTTATGTTACACATAAGACCAAATATCAGCAATTTAAAAAATAAAAACACTCCATGAAGAGTAACTTAAATTAAAAACTACATAATTCAGAACAACTTAAAATATTGCAGGTCACCACATATGACAACATGGCCAGAAAACAGCTGGAAAAAACCCCTAAAAGCACACCAACAAAACATTCATTCCCTGGACCTTGTAACTCTGGATAAAGACTTGCCTACTGCTAGTGTGGAAATGAAGAGATTCTGACACTGAGTTTGCTTGTCTTGGAGTACCAAAGGGCAAAAGTGCATATTCCTGGGATGCTGCGAACAGAAAATTGTGTCTCCAGTTAGGCAGATGACAAGACATGGCTAGGTATCACCCTTGAGCACAGTGCACCAGCTAGGGGAATTCATATCACACAACAGCTCCTAGCTTTGTCTCACTCTCTTCCTGCTTTATCCTCTTCATACACATTCTGGGAACAGCTCTTCCAATGTGAGAAGATGCCAAAAAAGTTCAGCACCTCAGCACAGTACCAGGCACTGGCAGGAGCCCTGGCTCCTCACTGTTGCTTGTTGGAATCCAGTGCACACTCACCAGGGGCACGAACCAAGAAGAGCAGTAAATGGTTACACAGAAATGTTGAAACAACAACCCAAAGAGAGACCCAGAGCAGGAAATCAGAATTAAGATGGCACTGAGGAGCCTGACCAACTTCAATAGCTGTGCTGGGAAGAAACAGTATCAGCATCTACTTCACTGCCCACCCCAAAGCTCTGTCCCCAGGGACCCACTCTGGAAAGCAGAAGGCAAAGGAAACTGCCAAATAATCTGGCACAAAATCAGAGTAGATGCAAAGTATTCTATCACAACAAGAACTGAAGTAAATCTACTGCCATTTTCTGATAACTTTTTGCTAAAATATACAAACTACAAAATAGGCACTCCACTCTGTCACAGTGGGTTAAATGTCCAGCTCATACCTAAGTCCTGGGACAGCTGTGGCCATTTCCATTAGATTTTGGCCAGGAATTAGCTGTATCTAGCCAAGCCCTACATGCATCAGCATTCATAAAAGTTGGGTGAAAGATGGAAAAGATTGTTATGTAAACGGTCAAAACCCTGACAAAGGCTTTTGGGAACCTTGGAGAGAGATGAGAAGAAAAGCCACAAGATATCTCAGAGAGTTCATCTGAAAGGGCAGATATGAATCTGCTGTGTCTGTGCATGCATAAAAGCAGATAAAAACAAGACTTTGTTAAACCTGCTACATGTACAATTTGGAATGCCTAACTAAGCTGCTGCTTTACTTTCACTGTGTCACGTATCCAGTGCTAAGGGTGAGTGTCTGATAATCACGAGAGATGCCTCATGTTCCTTTGAAATGGACCAGTGTCATCTGGAGAGCAGCACATGAGGAGGATGCTGAATAGTTAGAGCATCCCAGAAATATCACATTGCCTTTTAGAAAAATAAACTGTGACAGTTTTTAAAAATCACCCCATGTTTATGAAGGTGCTTAGTTGTAATTCATACTTACAACACACCTAACAGAATTACAATGCGATTTAGAGAATTAATGTAAAGTCTATACCACGCTGACAAAATTTCACTGACTTTAACTTTTCTTTTTATTTTTAAAAGTTATGCCTAAAACATTATTTTGTCCAGAGTCCCTGATCAACAGTTATATGCAATATTCCTTTTAGATACAGAGGGATAAAGTTGCTGCTCCCTAGAAGTGTCTTCAGGATCAGGTTCTGGGGGATTTTCCTGTCCTATACAGACTTTATAAACAAAGATAATGCACAGAAGAAATACTTCACATCAAAATGTAAAGGGAAGAGAGTTAAAAAAGAAAAAGGTTCTCTCTGTATTTGTAGCTGAAGTTCCTCAGAGGCACAGAGAGCAGTCTGCTGATAAGCAGCAAGTTTCCGGCAGTAAAGTGATACACAAAGTACTTGGAGCCAATTTTTGATCTGCAAGACAGACAAGCCTCTCTGCATTCAACACTCACCACAGGCGCCTATTTCCCTAGCAACAGTTTGTGGGGAGCTTTCATTTTGACTGAAGAACATTTAACCAGTTACATTATGAGCCCTGCACCTTGCTGCTACAGCAGCAGTTGCTTTTCACACATACCAAATTGTTCTTTGTGTGGCACTGAGCTGCTGGATCAATGCTGCACCTGCAGCACAGATTTGCTTTACCGTGTTTTGGTAGTGTGGGTTTTTTTTGTTTTTTGACTATCTGAACTTTATCAAGCTCAAACAAGTCAAAAGTGAAAAAAAACCCCAAAACTTCACAGTATTCAAAAAAGGTAACTTAGTTACTTTGTAACACCCTTATTATTTTCCAGATGTGTCCTTTGTTTGAAGTTTGGAGTATTAGAGTGCAAAGAAGTACACAACAACAGTTGTGTATGCAACAAGTACAGTCCTTGATTAATGCTAGGGAGACTTAAATCAACCAAAGGAGACAGAAAATGTACCAAACTAATAATGCAACATCAAATATTCACCATCAGTTCAAATGGCATAATGAGATTTTCTTAAAAGTGCCAAAAATTGAGAAATTACAATCTAGGAAGTAACCTTTCAAAACTAAGAAAAAGCAATATCTTTCAATGAAAATGTAATTGAACTACACAACTCATCCATCCCTAGTTCATCTTCAGATGGTGAGGAAGGAAAAAACAAATTTTCATAAATACTATGGCCCAACAAAATACAAACTACTAATGGACATAAGCCATAGCCTGCTGGTAGTTTCTTAGAGATAACCATGATTCAGAGAGCTCACATTCTGCACAGAGCCCCAAGGAGAAAGGCAGCACTTACACACAAGGAAAGTGCTCAACCAAAACCCATGCTATGAAGCACCTCAGGAGCAGATCTGGGAAGAGCAGCCAAAGCTGAGAGGTCACTGGTCAATTCTTCCCTGGTAGATCAGGGAGCTCCTGTAGAAGCACAAATCACCCATTTAATTAGTGTCAGCTGCTCAAAATTCTGATTACTTCTGTCACTGAAGTTGTTCAGCACAATTTAAGAGCAGGCCTGAGAGTCAACTATTGCCAAAAGCACAAGAACATGATTTCAATAACCACATCCTGTAGTTAAAACACAAATTCCAGAGCTATTTTTCTCCCTTGTAATCCCATATTCCATCTTGTGAACATACAAATTCTCAAAACCTTCCGAAGCCCTTAGCCCCTGTGTGAGAGGACAACTAATTTGTTTAAAGAAAAGAACTCAAGTTCATTTATTTCCTCCCTCCTATGGATTTTCTGCTGACAAACTTCAAGTGTGTGGTATCCCCTTTCTTCTCTCCTAAAGGAGCTGACCTAATACCAATATCCACCCAGAAAAAATAAATTAATACTTACAAGACATTTTAGGAATACAGTAGTCGCAAGCTTATAAGATACAGATAATTTTGGACTACAACAATTTATTACAGCAAACATCTTTGCTGGCACTTAAATATTTGCTGGACTTTATTCTCATACTTCCAGAAACATATAATTCCTGGAGGAGAATGTCTGTTCAGCTGCGGCAGGAAGCACAATGCTGGGCTTTAAATATCACATAAAATATTAATTAAGTTATTGTGTAATAGCATTATATTTTCAAAAATAAATATATAATTAGATGAGAATGCATAATGTTAAGGACAGCAGAATGCCGTGCTGCAGCTCCCACTGACAGACATGGTGGTTAAAAAACAACACAGCAACCAGTGCTGTAAATTCACTTACAGAAACTCGGGGGGGATCTCTTAACGCCGGTTTTTCAGCAGCAAATGGAATCAGCGCCTCTGAGCAATGGTGTGACACAACAGGGGACGGAATCACGAGGTTCCTTTCGTTGCCTTCACATGGCTGAAACACCAGCACTGGTTCTGAGGTACAGCTGAAGCTGACACTGCTGACTGCCGAGGCACAGCTCCGTACCTGGCCGAGCAGCAGACCTGGCACCACAGGGGAGGTGTCTGGGCTGTGCTCTGCTGCAAACGTCTTCACACTTATTCACAAACCACCCTCCTCCCTACACACAGAGTTTAAGTCAGTTTAATGAACAGAAACAGGAAGTTTTGCTGTTCATTTTAAAAAATATACCCACAGATCCTGGCTCTGGTTCCACAACAGGGGTGTCTACAGTAATATTTGCTCAATGAGTTTCTCCTCCCCTACCCCACCACCACTTATTCCTAGCTTGTTGCCACACCATTCTTTCATATGTGCAGTTACTGTTTCTAGGACGACAGATCAACACAAAAATAACCATTTGTGTCTCCTAGGTTTTGTTCCTTTCTGCCCAAGAGGCAGCCAAGATCAGTGATGGTGTGCAGCAGCTTCGAGGGCAGCTCAGCCAGCACAGCTGAGAGCAGTTGGCTGCAGAGCAGAGGCAGAACATCGAGGTGACAGCAGGAATGTGCTCCTTAACCTAAGTCAGAGGGACGAACTGTGCTCCCACATGTGCCCCAAGATGAGGAACAGCCCAGAGAGATGCCAGGCAAGAGCCAGGAACAGAAGAGATCGGCTCCTCAGGGGAAAACAGACCTCTTGATGCCTTTGGCACCAAGCAAGTAGTCAGGGTGGTCTGAAATTCTCTATTTTAACAC